CCTAGCCCACTCAGTGCCTTGCTCTTCCTAAGGTTGGGGCTTTTCTGTCTGGACCCACTATCACTTGACCTGTTGGAGAGGGGTCCTGAAGGGTCACAATGGACACTGATGAGGAGCTACAGCAAGGTAGGGCTTCTCTAGGGTACGAAGGTCCTTCCTAGGCAGAGGGAGGGATGGATGTCTTGGATGGTCTCAAACTCACCCTCTGCAGAGGGTTCTGAGCACTGGTCTTCTCTCCTGGCCAGATTCTCTATATGCTTCTCACCTGGTGCTGGGCAGCAGGAACCAACCTTCTGCTGTCCTCAGGCCCTCTTCTGGGTGTATACCTCCCATGTGGTGAGAGCCCAAGCCTGCCAGCTTCCTGGAATCTCCTAGAGCCTCCTGGCATGTCAAGGAGGAGGGATTGGGGGACTATTGGGGGCTGTGCCTTTTTTGGACTCAGCAGGGATTATTTTTAGGCTGGCAGATGGAGGTGGCAGTGGCTGTCGCTGGTATTATTAGACAACAGGCCTGTGGTTTGAGAGTCTGGTGCCCAGAGGAGGAGGAAGAGGAGGAGGCTGCAGTGAGGAGCCATGGAGGCTGATGCTCAGCCTGTGTCTTCCCTCCTTTTAGCCATCATAAAAACCAGACAGGGTTCCTGGGTCTCAGGTAGAGTGACCTTCACCAGAGCTGGCCAGTGATACTCCAGCTGATCCAGCTGCCTTTGAGAGGCAGGTCCACCCTGGAATCCTCTGTGGTCCTGGGATGCAGGGTGTGGACTCTCTGAACCTGTATAGAACATGGGGTAGGAACTCTGACTCAGTGTGTAAAGAAGGGGAGGGGCAAAGGGAAGAGGCTTTAGTCACCTGGGTTCTGGAAGGAATCCTGACCCACCATTTGTTACCTAGGTTAGCTTGTTACCTTCTACCTTTGGGTGAGCCACATAGGAACCACATGTCTCCATTTGTGAGATAGACACAGCAGTACTATGGCAGTGGCCATCTTGGGCATACAGCATCACATTCCAAGTACAGATCCCACGTAGTAGAGCTGGGCAGTGTGTTTCACTTGCCTCTTGGCAGAGGGTTTGTACACCTGGTTCCTGTTTCTTCCACTGATATTTAGAAGTGGTTTCCCATCCTCACGACCCTTCCTCCCCAGCCCTTCCCTAGCAGACAAGCTTCAAGTTGTGTGTTGGATGTGGGACTGTGCCAAGCCTTGGATGCTGTGTGGTTCTGTGCCCAAAGGGGGGTCTGCTGGCAGCTCTGGATTCAGCCACCCACTGGGTACCACCTGGCCCAGAGAATGGAAGATTTGTATCCTATGGGCTTTCCAAAAGGTCAGCCAACCTGCAGGGGCCTACTCCATCCACCTGCCCTCCTACTTTCCTTTCATTTCCTGTCAGTGTGGTTTACACTAGGTTGGGCTGGGCAGACACTCAAGATTTAGATTTGCTGGGTGTACAGGGCCATAGTCTACCTTCTTGAAAAGGGGCATATGAGATGCAGGGCATCTCATAGTCTCCTGCCAAACCCAGTCTGAGGGAGGAACCTGTGGGTAACCCCTATGGCCACTGTTCCTGAGCATCCCCTCTCTTGCCCTTGTTTATCATTTCTTTGCTTTCCCACTGTTCCTCCTGGCCCTTCTGGGCACAAGTCTATCTGCAGGCTCAACTCTGTATCCTGGTTCTAGGGTTCCCTAAGTCCCAGTGTCTCTTTGCCATGTTACCTGTCCTGAGTGTCTCTCTAGTTGGGTTGCATGAGGCCTGTTTGCACCTCCCTCTTTCCTTGTCTCTGAGTCTCTTTTACTGGATTTGGGCTTGCTGGCTTCTGTTTGATTTCCCTGTTCCTCCTCTGTGGAACTCCTTTTTCCACTGTATGCCAGCCGATGACTTTTCTCTTTCTTTTCTTTTCTTTTTTTTTTCACACTGAGCTTTTCTGGAATGTTTATTAGACATATTTCAGCTCAGAGAGGGTCAGGCCTAGGAAGAAGTATTTGTGGGTGACAGAGTGAATATACCTGGTGTGTGTGTGTGTGTGTGTGTGTGTTTGTGTGTGTGTGTACGTATGAGTTGAGGAAGAGCAGATGACTATTTTGAGATCCAGGAACTCAGGAGAGCTTGGCCTGAGTCTGGAGGCTGAGACATGGTGCCCCCTCAGCTTCCTTGTGGAGAAATCTGTCTCATTTTGTCTTGTATGTCTTCTTTGGGATGCGTTTGTTTTGCAGTCTCTTTATTGTGGTTGGAAGGGTCTGGAGAAGACATGCTGATGGGAGAGTGTCCATCCTGCTGCTGCCTTGGGGTACATTTCATGCTTGGGGCTCAGGGCACAGCCCAGGGGCTGACTAGTGCTGGGACTGGGAACCTGGAGCCCTCCTTCCAGGCCTGGGAAGCAAGGTGTAAAAGTGGCTGCCTCATTGACATGAGGTGAGAGGAAGGCAGTGCTAGGTGCAAATGAGCAGCTGGCACTGTAGGAGCCCATGTCAAAGCTGACCTACCTCTTGGCATTGCCCTCCAGAGCCCTGGATCCAGCAGTGTGTTGTCCAGAGCAGAACTTCACTGTTAGAGGTGACTGGTGCTCCCCAGACTCTCTTCCTTCTGCCTAGGCTCTAGGGACAAAGCAGCTATTGGTCCATTCTGCCTTCCCCAAGGTAACCTGGCCCTGGGAAAACTCCCTACCTTTCCTTAGGCTCCTATAGTTTGTCTCTTTATCTCCTCATAGGCTGTGCTGAAGATAGTCATTACATGTGTGCACATACACATGCATACATGCTCACACATGTGTATACACACACACACACACACACAAACACACACTTCTAGCTCATGGAGCCCACTGCCTATCCATTCCTTTTGGTCCAGCACTGGTCTTTGTGTGCCTGGATTCTGCAGGCAGGCTTCTTGCCCAGGTGTCCCTGGGATGTGGGGAAGACACTCCCTGCAGCTGGGCCCTCTCCTTTCCTGGAGGGCTGGGGCTGCAAACAGCCAGGCTGAGGGAGGGGAGGGTGGGAAACCTGCCGGGGCCTCTAGCAGGTGAGTGCAACACTCTGCTTTGCTCCAAAAATACTCTGTGATCTTAGTTCTTTCTCTAGAAAACAGTGATGTCACCAGGAGCCAATAGGCTTCTGGAAGGGCTTGCCTCCCTCTCTTCCTCCTCCTTCGGCAAGTTGCAGTGGAGGGGGAGGGAGAAAGGGGAGAAGGAGACACAGGCAACACAGACTGACGTAGAGATATACAGACAAGAAGCACATATACACACATATGCACACAGCTTCCCATCATTGAAAAGCAGGCAAAGCCCCTTCTGGCATAGGCCAGCAGAAATCCATAGTTCTCACTCCCTAATACACAGAGAGAGAGAGAGAGAGAGAGAGAGAGAGAGAGAGAGAGAGAGAGAGAAAGACAGAGAAAGACAGACAAAGGGAGAGACTGAGACTGAGAAACGGATAGAAACAGAAATGAAGAGAGACAGGCAGGTAGACAGAATCACCCACATAGAGTGGAAACAAAGAAAGAAACAGAGATAGAGACATTGACAGAGAGACATGGGGAAGGAGCGGGAGAGAGAGCAGGAAGACCTAGAGAAAGAGAAGCAGGCATAGGGGAAACAGAGAGGTAGACACTGAACAGGAAGGACACACACACACACACACACACACACACACACACACACAGAGCCCAACACACAGATGTGAAGGACAGACAGAGGCAGGAGCTCATAGAGTCAGAAGTGCAGAAAGAGCAGCAGCTGACCAACAAAGCTTTGCTGCTCTCCTCCAGGATCCTTGAGTGGGAGGGTTCAGCCGGCTCCTGGCTTGTAGCCTAGGGTTGGTGACTGGGCTGCTGTCCTTGGTACTGCCCTGGATCTCTGGGCCTGGAGAGTGGTGATGGGGAAAGTGTATGGTTAATTGGGAAGTGGTGGGCAGTCCAAGGGAGGTAGGGGTGAGGCTGTCCTTCTGATTGGAAAAAATGGACAAGGTGACCTTGGCATCTCCCTCCCTCTGTCTTGTAGTGGGGGCCTGGCATGGGAAGAGTCTTGGTGGGCTCTGGGTTCTAATTGCTCTGATGTGTGGGCAATGTCCACAGGGTTAGCCTCTCCTGGCTCCTCAGCTTTCAGTTTTGGTGGGGTGGAGGCCTCTTTTACCTGCTTGCTTCTTTTACTGTGTCCCCTGTGTGGGTATGCCCTCTCCAGCTCCCTCATTTGATGTCCTCTGACAAAGGTAGGGGGCTGCTCCAGTGCCCCCCCTTTCACCACCAGCATCTTTATCCCCTAATGGTGATGTCTAGGGCTACTTTGAGAGTCTGATAGACCCAAGGCATGGAAAATAGGAGGACTGCAGTGCCTCTTGCTCCCCTCTGCAGCAAGGTTGGCGCAGTGGCTTGGAGGAGGGGCTGGAAAGGCTGCTCAGGCCCGTGGGGCTTTCCCTCTGGTGTTGCCAAGCAGCCTTAGCTTGTTAGGGATTCCCCACTCCTGTATGGAGCCCTCTTGTTTAGTACTGCAACACCAGGCTGAGCTGGGGGTGGGGCGGCAGAGGAGGCTGGCTCTGCCTTCGCCCACCAGGCTCCAGTGGGAAGCGCCTTGCTTCTGAAAGAATGTTGAATATTCACAGGGAGTCTAACTGGGCAGGTCCTCCAGGGCTGAGAGCCCTTCAGCCCTGAGGGCTCACCATATAGCTTCTGATGCCTTTTGGAGGGGCAGTGAATGCCTGAGGAGGACAGACCAGGTGTGATTATAGCTGCTGCTTTTTGGGTCTCAGAAAGGAAGTCTTGCTTGTATTACTAGAGAAAATGGCACCGCCCCTCCTTTGTTCCTCAAGTTCAAGGCATATTGAGGCTTAAACTTCCCCAGGGCAGAGGGAGGCATGCACAAGAGGTGAGGGTCAAGGGTACACTAGGGATCCTTGGGTAGGAAAGGGGTGGATTTGGGAGTTGTGTGTGGGGTGGCATTGGGTATCAGCATGAGCTACTAGGGGCAGGCTCTGTTCGCCAGTTCTTCATGTGTCACCTTGGCTGTTCTGGTTAGGTGCCCACGGCCTTCGAGAGGAGCCCGAGTTTGTGACTGCTCGAGCTGGTGAGGCTGTTGTCCTGCGATGCGACGTGATCCACCCGGTGACGGGACAGCCCCCACCCTATGTTGTAGAGTGGTTCAAGTTTGGGGTTCCCATCCCTATCTTCATCAAGTTTGGCTACTACCCCCCACACGTGGACCCTGAGTATGCAGGTAAGGTGTGGGTCACGAGGGATGCCCCCTTAGTGTCTCCATCTCCCTCTAGGTTTTGGCTGTACTGTGCCTTCCTTCTAGGCCTCAGAGGTTCCCACGAAGTCCCAGGTCCTTTTGACTTTTATCTCTGTCATTTCTGATCTTTTTCATGACTGATCTATTATCTCTGTTTTTCATGGTTTCTGCCTTTTTCCTTCTGTCTTTGCCTTCTGGTGGGTTTTCATTAAAAGTAGGAAGAGAGGAAATAGGAGATAAAGCAGACCTGAAGCTCTTCTGAACCAGCCTGGGGATATGGTGAGGGGCCGGGAGTCCAGAGCAAGCTAGAGAGAGGGCCCACTGGGAGGGAGCAAAGACTGGAGGGAGGGAGGGAGTTAGACAGAACCATCTTTCCCCATTTGTGATGCAACTTGAGCTATAGGATCTGCTGTCTGCATGCTCCCACTCTCCCCTTCCTGGCCCTGAAGTTGAGGTGTCCTATCCTGAGCCTGGTAGGCATCTCCACCTTCTTCTGTCTGTGTCCCAAGTCCTGGTGAATGCCTGGTCTCTACTTCCTCTGCCACAGTCCTCCCAGTCCTCCCTTTTCCTTGCCCCCCCCTTCATGTCTGGCTCTGTAATTATTCTGTCAGAGTGACCTCCCAGTGACTCACTGCTGCCCCCTGCCAGCCTGCCAGTAAGGAGGGCGCAGGGTTGTGTGCATGTGTGTTAGAGTGCTTGAGCTGAAAGGAAGGGAGGAGGCAGGCAGGACCCTGCAGCTTTTGCTTTAGTCTCCCCCCACCAGGCTTCTGAGTTTTGAATTGTCTTCTCTCAGAATGCATCTTAAAAAAAAATCTTGTTTTATTTTTATTTTTATATGTGTTAGTATTTTACCTGTATGTATGTAAGTGCACCTGTGTGTGCAGTGCCCACAGAGACTAGAAGTGGGCACTGGATCCCCTGGAACTGATGTGGATGGTTGTTAGCTACCATGTTGGTGCTGGGAACCAAACCTGGGTCCTCTGCAAGAGCAGTGAATACTCTTAACTGCTGAACTATCTCTCTAGCCTCTTAAAATGCATTTTTCCTCCCTCCCTCCCTCCCTCCCTCCTTCCCTCCCTCCATTTTTTCCTTCTTTTTCTGTGGTGCTGGGGATAGAACTTTAAGCATTGCTCTTGCTAGGAAAGTACTGTACCATTGAGCTGTACACCTGTCTCCCCTTCCACTAAGTTGTCCATCCTGGACTCTAACTCACAGTCCTCCTGCTTCAGCCCCCTGAGTAGCTAGGATTATAGGCCTGTGTGACCACACCAGACCTATTCCTGTTTGTCCTTCTCCTGAGCCTATGTCTCTCACTCCACTTTTGTCCAGGGTTGATTTTGATAGTCTTCTTTTTAGGCAGGTTGCCCATACTGAGGCAGGGAGGAAAGCAGAGGAAGTGGTGGTCTCAGTTTGGATGAACATAGGCTGGAGTGGACTGTGAGGCGAAAGGAGCTCCTGAGCTCCTCTGTCCACTGCAGTGTGGGAAGGGGCTCCTTGCCATGCCTTAAGTGACACTGAAGTGGCCTCTTGATGGAGCTAAGGAAGAACCTCCAGCCTTTGCCTTGTTCTTGGGTTCATAGCCTGATGCCTCTAGTTCCTTCCAGGCTGGTCTTTGCAAGGATATATAGTCTCAGGTACTGATGACAGGACTGGGAAGAATCCTAGCATCTGGCTCCTAGATTGCTTTTCCTCTGCCTATTAAGGGAAGTCAGATAGAGGGAAACTGGGTGAGACAGTACTGAACACCTAGCTGGGACAAGGATGCCCTGGGGCCTGTTGGGCACCCTCAGCCCATCTTTTCTGTTAGTATTCTCCTTTCTCTCTCTTCTCAACTCTGTGTCCCTCATGACTTGGTTTTGTCCTAGATCTCCAAAAGAGTGAGTGTATTCCAAGAAGTGGAGGCTGTTCTCAGTGCCACACACAGCAAGCTGCCCTTGTAGGCTGGGGCAGGGGCATCTGAGGAGGGGCAGTGGCTCCAGAGCCAAGGCATTTGCCTTTCCCTTGTCACTTGTTGCCTATGAGGAGTGCTGACTGTCATTTTGGGACCCTGCGATGAGAAATGGTCTGAAGATTATGATGGGTCCCCTGTCTTTGGCTGGGTTAGTCGGGGTCTGCTAGACTTGCCCCAATAGCTTGGCTCTGATGGCCTCCTGGGCTTTTTACACTGTGTTCCTCCAGGCCGGGCCAGTCTTCATGATAAAGCATCTCTACGGCTGGAGCAGGTGCGCTCCGAGGACCAGGGCTGGTACGAATGCAAAGTGCTTATGCTGGACCAGCAGTATGACACCTTCCACAATGGCAGCTGGGTCCATCTCACCATCAACGGTATGTACAGGCTTCTTGGGAGTTGTCCAGGAAGGTGGCTTCTGTGGCCTGCTTTGGAGGAAGCCCCTGTACTAAGAGGGAGATAAGGCCAACCCTGGCCCCATGAGGTCTTAGCTGGTCCTTTAAGTGCCTTCTGGGTCAGTGGAGTGCACTGGGACAGCAGCTTCCTGTGTGTAGGGTGGCATCAGAGGTCCTCTGGGGAAGACTTGAATCTGCCTCTGGGAACCACGAAGATTGACGGGTCACTGTTGGTGTCATTTTCTGGCTTCCAATGACCTTGCCAGCCCAGAAAGTGCCTTCTCTCACGCAAAATTCCTAGATTCTCTTTTAGGTTGCTTCTTTAGTTTCTTGTTAAATATATTTATTTGTGTAATAAGTACGGAGGGTCTATTATGTTCCTAGCCCTGTACCCGATGATGGATAAACAATGTTGAGCAAACCCAGACCTGTTCTCTGCTTGAATGGGGTTTACCAGCTAATAAAATGTGGGAATCCTGGGAAGAGGAACTGTTTTTAATGGCTGTCAGTTATTTATAGCTCAGGTTAAATGGATTGTGCTATGCATAGATGCTTTTCAAGTGTTTGGGGCGAGGAAGCATAGATGAGCTTGCTGAACCCTCAGGGTTTTCCCAGGCTGGAGGGCTCTGGGTCCACAGTGGAGATGGCATCAGGGGTTGGATCTTCATGGAGGGAGAATCTGTCTCCTCTTGTGTCCTTGGGAGTCCTCACTCAGGAGGAGATGTAAAGGAGCCAAAAGGCTGACTCATGTAGAGAGTGGGTAAGGAAAACATTTTCTTTTTATTTTACTTTGTTCTTTTGGTTTGATTCTTGTTGTAGTTTGTTGTTCTTTGTCATTTTCTTCTTTTTTGTTTTTTGAGACACAGTTTCACTATGTAGCCTTGGCTGGCTTGGAACTTGCTATGTAGACCAGGTGGGCCTCAAACTCTCAGAGATCTACCCACCTCTGTTTCCTGAGTGCTGGGATTAAAGGCATGTGCTACCATGCCTAGCTTTTCATTTTTTGATTAATGACAAAATGAACTGAGCTCTTGCTGTGTGTCAGACACTGTGCTAGTTACTGAGGTCTTAACAGCAAGTTCAGATGTGTCACATCCTGTATAGGTCCTTGCAGTTTTAGTGTCTCGAATTTATGTCCTAGCTTCAGAGACTTTTTCCAGAGGGTTCTGCCTTGAAGGATGGCTTTATCCTCCCTGTCTAGTGGGGTTGGATAGGAGACTCATAGTCTTTCTAGGCCTGGGAGCCTGTCCAGGGTCTTAGAAAAACAGAGTATTCTAGTTTTCTTTAAAAACAAAAACAAAACCAACCGGGTGTGGTGGTGCATGCCTTTAATCCCAGCACTTGGGAGGGAGAGGCAGGTGGATCTCTGTGAATTTGAGGCCAGCCTGGTCTACATAGTGAGTTCCAGGCCAGCTGGGGCCACAGAGAGACCCTGTCTGGGAGCCTGTCCAGGGTCTTAGAAAAACAGAGTATTCTAGTTTTCTTTAAAAACAAAAACAAAACCAACCGGGTGTGGTGGTGCATGCCTTTAATCCCAGCACTTGGGAGGGAGAGGCAGGTGGATCTCTGTGAATTTGAGGCCAGCCTGGTCTACATAGTGAGTTCCAGGCCAGCTGGGGCCACAGAGAGACCCTGTCTCAAAAAGACCAAAAAAAAAACAACTTCGGGCACATACTAGTCTCTGTGTTTATGTTTCCCAACTTTTTTTTTTTTTTTCTCTCAGAGCTGGAAATCAAACCCAGGGCTTTCTGCAGACCAGGAAAGTGTTCTACCACAGAGCTACACTCTCAGCCCTAGAATAGCTTATTCTATCAAGAATATTGGCATATGGCACAGGACACTTTAAAGTTAGTGTTTCAAGGTCAGAGGTGGCTCAGTGACTAGGTTCTTGATGTTGGCTCCTCCAAGTCAGTCCCATGAACCTGATTAGAGGCATATTTTAAATCTTGTGTGCATTATGTCCAACACCAGTCAGGTTTTGAGGGACCGAGCCAGCTGTAGTAGGCTTCTTATGAGGAGCCCAAGCAAGTTATAACTCAAAAAGTAGATTGGCTGCTCAGCTGATTGAGCACCAAGCCTAGAGACCCTGTGTTGTTTCCTTTCTCTCTTGTGTCCTTTCTATCTGCCTGAAACTGCCTTGAGGTTTGTCTATCTCTCCCTTCATCTGGTTGATAGTGTTCGTTGCAGGAACTCTAGATGTCAGCCATTCAGCCAACACTTCTGTGATGGGAAAGTAGAGTTGTTTGGAACTATATATAAGGTATCTGTCTTAGTTTGCAGGAGTTGATTACTTAGGATATTCTGATTGCCCAGAATGTAATTCATATAGTACAATACCCTTAAAAATTTGGCTTATTTCCCAAACCCAGTGTCATTAACAGTGTCATCCTGGGTCAGTTAAGTTACCTTTCTGAGCTTTGTTTCTTCAGTTAGAAAGTCTGTTTGCAGGGTATTGTGAGATTCAGCAGACTGCTGTGTGTGATTGTGTCTTCAGCACTAATTAGCTGAAGGGAGTTAGGGGTAAGATGTTGGTCTCCTTTTCACAATGGGGAAAAGGACAAGCAGATCAAAGTGTGGTTGGCAGGGATATCTGACTAGAAGCCATGAAGACTCTTTTTAAAAAATATTTTATTTTATTTTATGTGTATGAAGGTATTGCCTGCATGTTTGTAAGTGCACCCATGTTGTGCAATGCTCATGGAGGTCAGAAGAGGGTGTTGGATCCCCTAAAACTGGAGTTAGGATGTTGTTAGCTACCATATGGGTGCTGGGACTCGAACCTGGTTCCTCTGCAAGAGCAGCCAGTGCTCTGAACTGTTGAGCCATCTATCCAGCCCCCAGAAGACTCTTTTTAAACGTCCTTTTGAATCTACCAGAAAATATCCTTTCAATACATGTTTTCTAATGTCCTCTATATGCAGGCTGTAGGGGTCAGGCGGAAGCATGACCCAATCCTTGTGTTTAAGGCTTCAAATTAGGTCAAGAAATGATTGCTTTATGCCTTTAGGAACATGGAAAAGGAATAGCTTCTCTGAACACTTGACCTCTATCCGGAGACTTGGCCAGGGAGAGACTTAGGCGGGAGCAGGGGGTGAGGTGGGAACAGTCCTCCATGAGAGGGACCAGCATGTCCAGGAACTTGGTGGGAGACAGCAACTCAATTAGGGAGTGCAGGTAGGTTGTGGGCATGTAAGTATTGGGCAGGGCACTGAAGCTGAGCCAACATCTATGCTTGAGAACCAGGGCTTAGCATAGAGTGCAGTTTGTCACCACCCAGAACAGATACCTCCCATGTGAAAGAGAGCTCCTGCACTGCAACCCCCCTTGCAAATTTCTCTCTTCTTCATGAGCTCAGAGGTTCCTTTCAGTAAAAATACATCTACCCTGGACAAAAAGAGGTGGGCACTGGCCTTTTGTCACTTCCAGAGCGGGATGTTTAGTGTTAGGCATTTTGTGACAGGGATTATTGGAAATGGAAAGGCCAGCACAAAAGTCAGGTTATAAATTGTCTCATTTCCTGCCTGTGCTTTCTTTGAAGATGAGTTGGTTGGAAACAAACCCAATTATTTCTTTATCACATATAAAATACTGCCAAAGCCCAAGCCAAATCTTGCTTTAGGTCTGGTGATGGCTTGGAGGGGAGGCCAGCCTATTTCTAACCTGCGCTATTAATTATAGGGTGCCTGCAAGAAGAATTAAGCTTGGAAATACAGCTGGCAAACTAACACCTAATTCAGTAAATAATTGAGAGTCAAACCATTATTTTCCTGAAAACTTGAAATTGTTCAAAGTACTTTTCTGATTAGCACCTAAATAATAAAGTAATTATGTAATTAGTAATTAATTTGTCACTTCAGGATGTAATTTAATTTATTATCTTTTCTTTTAAGCTTTGACACCAGAGGTAATAGAGGCTGTGGTTGAGTTAACTGAATTTCAGGGCAGGCTGGGTGAGGGTGGGCTCTGAGATGAGCACACATCATCAGGGCCTAGAAGGTGGGGTCCCAGGACACATTTACGGGGACCTGGGAGGGCTTTTGCTATTACACTTGCCATGAGTATATTCCTGAACACTGAGTGAGTACTGATTTTCTTGAGGATGTGTTTTGTGTGATGAAGTGTACTTCTTATTTTACTCTATAGTTCCAAATGTCCCCATATGCCTACGCTGAGCTATGGGCCTTGGAGATTAGAGGCCAATGGTCAAACTTCTGAGAGGATTTATGTACTGGCATTTTATGTTGGTCTATAGATGTGTATGTTGTAGGCTCATTCATTTATTCATTTCATTCATTCTTTCATTCAACAAACATTTATTGAGTACTATACTAAATCCAGGAATCATGCTAAAAGCTGAGCATTCAGTGGGACTGCAGAAAGGTGTTTGCTCTCAGAGAGCACAATTTCCACTAATGGGGAAGGATAAGAAGCAGGTTTCTATATATATGTGGACTTCAGTTAGCATGCTTCAGTTAGTGGTAGTGCTTTAAGTGAAATACAACAGTGTAAAGAGGTAGGGAATGCTGGAAATAATGTCTCTGATGGACTGACCAGGAAGGCAGAGATGACATTTAATAGACTCACATGAATCAAAGCAACAGGATATGGATATAGAGTTCCAGGGAGACTACACTGCAAATGGAAAGGTCTTAAGGTTTGAAGTTCCTGCCATGCATGGGAAGACACAGGAGGCCAGTGTTGTCAGAGGCAGTAAGAAACTATCCAGAGATGAGATGAGTGTGGCCCAATCCTAGCATCCTCTCACTAGCTCTTGGAGCATGGCTATGTGGGGTCTTCCTGAAGCTTCTCCTTAGTCTTCAATGGCCCCCAGGGATGATAGTGGGGGTAGTGATGATAGAGTAATCAGGGTTTGTTTTAAGCATTTTCCTGCATTTTTACACAAGATCTTTCATAAACTTTATCTCATTTATTCCTCACCTGAGTTCTAAAGGATAGAGGATTTAGATAAAGCCCAGAGACAGGAACCTGTCCAAGATTATTTGGCAGGCTAGCACTTGAACTTGGTCCTTGAGAGAAGCTCAGAATGGCCTGTGTAACCTAGCACTTTGGGCTTTGGTGCTGTCATTCAGAATAGCCATTTTGTTAGACCACGGAACTGATAGTCCAAGAGGTCAGAATTGACTAGATTGTGTCTGCAAGCAGCTCAGGCAGAGGGGGCTGAGTCTCTTAAAAGCTGATCATCCGAACAGGGTGGAGTATTAATCACACCTTCAGTGCATGGAGAGGATAACCTCTCAATCAGAGGAGAATTAAGAAGGGAGTAGCATTCAGAATACACTACTCACCTTTATTTGCAGGAGCCAAAGAGGAGGCAGGCAGTGGGAAGATTTTTCTGTCTGTAGAATGAAGGGAAAGTAAAACTGTACACCTTTGGCCTGCAACCTGTGTTAGGCCTAGACCAGATTTACTCAGGAAATATCCTGCAAATGAAGGGGCCTGTTGAATCTGGGATGCAGGAAGTGGGGTCTCTGTGCATCATGATAATCTTGAAAGTAGGTAGGAGATTCTACAGTATTATTTATGTGTTGCCCTGAGCAGCTTCTCCATAGTAGATATTCAGTAAACACTTTACTGGGGAGTAGCTAAGTTCAATGGGTTGAATAGAATTTGAAGCCAGCCAGACTGAGATTGGGTCCCAGGTCTCCCCTGTGATATAGCGGGTAGGACTTTAGGCATTCTACCTTTGTTCCTTTGTCCTTGTATCTTATAGTGAGAGTACTGTACAAGTGGGTGGGTTCTGTCTCTCACCTTCCCTGTCTCCTTTGCAGCCCCTCCTACCTTTACAGAAACACCCCCCCAGTACATTGAGGCCAAGGAGGGTGGAAGTATTACCATGACCTGCACAGCTTTTGGGAACCCCAAGCCCATCGTCACCTGGCTCAAGGAGGGGACCCTTCTCGGTGCTAGTGGAAAGTACCAGGTGCGTGTGGCTCCCAGCTGGATATTATAATTGCTTCTCCACTCACTCTCCCTTCCTGTCTCTCTCCTCCAGGGCAGCTAGACACTGATACCTGCCATGAACACAAGTCCAGGGTAGAGACAGGCGAGCTTAGTCTAGCCTGACTACAGGCATTCTGCTGCTTCCTGTAGAGAGTTAAATAAAGAGGCACCTGACCTTTCTGCTCCAGTGCATGTGTCTCCAAGGCCTTTTCTGGCTTCTGTAAGCACATCTCTCTGCTTGAGAGACATATTGGTAAGGTCCACTGTTAAGTTCTTTCGGTTCTTGGCCCCCAGGTGAGTGACGGCAGCCTGACTGTGACATCAGTCAGTCGGGAGGACAGAGGCGCCTATACTTGTCGAGCTTACAGCATTCAGGGCGAGGCTGTGCACACAACCCACCTGCTTGTTCAAGGTAGGGGACCTTTTCAGCATCTTTATCTCTGGAGCTCTGTAGGAGGCTCGAGCCCCTCTGACCCACGGAGAACATTTTCTCAGGGCATAGTGTGCTCAACTGGAGAGGTGGAGGTGCTGGGTGGGGTGCCTATCTCCCACCTTGGCCAGCTGAGAAAAGGGCATCCCATGATGCAGCAGGGCAAGAGGCACCATATTGAGTTCTGATTTCCTTTGTCCACCATGTTTCTGCCTCCTCCAGAGAGGAGAAACCCTTGGGTCATTTATCCATTAGTGACAGCATCAATAAGTAAAGATAGGAATATAATTGAAGCACCTGACATTTAAACAATGCCAAGGACAAATAGAGCTGGGGTCTCTCTAGTCAGCTGAAAGATGCTGGTCTGTTTGGCCTGGACCCAGTGTGCTTGAAAGGGGCTGGCTGAACAGTCACTGTGTAGGATGGACAGGGTCCCAGATGGGGGTCTCTGCTTCCCCACCCTCTGTCTGCTACAGTGACAGTTGGAATTAAAGGCAGTTGTATCTAGTTGGCAGGGCAGCTGTGGTGGCACTCACTTTTCTTGCTTTTGAGGGCAGGAGCCAGGGCCACTGGTGGGAAGCTGTACACTCTCAGGGGAGGGCCAGGGCCCAGTTTTGCTAAGGCCAGGCTTACTAGTTTCAGGGCCTGCTGGAGTTTGACCTTTTGTTCCCCAGCCTCCTCTCCCTCAAGTAACCTTTGGAACTCTGACTGGGTAACAGTATGAGGTTCAGCCTATTTTAGAGAGAAGATCAGGCCTTGCTCCCTCCTGTCTGAGCCGTGCTATAGAGCTGGGCAAGAAGGATGTGTGTGTAGGTTATAGATGGCTCCTTTGGGAGCTATGGGGTAGGTGCAAGTGTGGCATAGAAGGATGCTTGGGCCTCACAGCAGCTTGATGTATCTGTGATGACTGTCTAGGCTCTGCTGACTTGACACCTTGTTCTGAGTATCCCAGAGCTTTCTGGAAGGACTGATGTGGTTGTCCTCCCCATCAGGAGAGGTGATGTTTATTCTCTGTTCTCCCCAGGGCCTCCCTTCATTGTTTCCCCTCCTGAGAACATCACCGTCAACATCTCCCAGGATGCTCTGCTTACCTGCCGAGCAGAGGCGTATCCTGGCAACCTCACCTACACCTGGTACTGGCAGGATGAGAACGTCTACTTCCAGAAGTGAGCAGCACCCTGCTCCAACCCTCTCACATGGGTCCCCCCACCCCAGGTCCCTAGGAGCAAGGGTCTCTGCACATAAGGGCCCTGGTAGTGCCTGGGAGAACAAGGTTTCCTTGCTGCCTCTAGGGGAGGTGGAGAGACTCACTGCTACTTGGCTTGTGTGTCTGCTGCACTCCCTTCTCACCTCTGCTGACACTCCACCCCTCCTTGTCTACTTCCTGGTTTTGCAGTGACCTGAAGCTGAGGGTGCGGATCCTGATTGATGGGACACTGATCATTTTTCGGGTAAAGCCAGAGGATGCTGGGAAGTACACCTGTGTCCCTAGCAACAGCCTGGGGCGCTCCCCCTCAGCCTCGGCATACCTGACTGTGCAGTGTAAGTAGGGTGAGGGAAAGGGCTCTGGGCATTCCCATAGGTTCAAACCACTCTAGTTAGAGTAAAGACCACCATGTTTTGGGGGGGAATGGATGAATGCCTGAGGGGGGAATAAGGACTACTCCAGAGGAGGCCATGACAAGGCTAGCCAAAAGGGTGAACTGATACTGGCAGGCATCTTCTGTAGGCTAGGCATCACTGTGTGGGTGTCAGTCACCTGATTCATTGATTCAGGCTTAGGTCAGGTTCAAGGATAAACAGATCTTAGCTTTGAACTTTTGCCCTTCAGAATGGTCATCCCTGTACTATTGAGTATTGGCCCACCTCTGGACCTTGAACTGGTTGCCACTGGTCACATTTCCCTAAATGTCTGAGGGAGCAGGCTTAGTTTCTCTGCCAGTTGTACTCTGCTTTTCTACATGCTAATAGTGCATGGTGAGGGGAAAAGGACCCTTCTGGGTGACCTGGTCTGGTTCCCATACCTGGCTCCTTCTGGCTGTCTAGTCCCTCCATTATGGGGTTGTGAGATCCAAATGAAGGAGCTGCTTAGCCAAACTCATGGAAAGCTTTTATGTGAGCCCAAACTAGTCCTGGGTGCCCTAGGTTGCCATCCCACCTCCTAGCAAGCTGGGCACTGTGAGAGAGCTAGAAAGAAGGGTGGATAATGAAGATTAATGTCTTCCTTTTGATTCATGGATGGCCTTGTCACTTAGGCAACAAAGGCTGCAAGTTGTTGCTATAGGTGACAGACCTCCACCATTATTAGAAGGGTTATGTGGAAGAATTACATATGCCCAAGAACACAAGTGGCAGAGTGAGCAGTGTAGCAGGGTGGAGATACCTTCATAGGTCAGCTTCTGAGCTGAGCACAAGTTGGAGACAATCTGAGTGAGGACTTATAGGTTTTCCTGATGGCTGCACAGATCTGAAAGGTCTGCTGTTGAACAGTCATGGGTGAGGTGGTGAAGCTCTGTTGGACCTGCTATGTCCCACCTCACCCCTCATGGTTACGCATGTCATTTGTTTTCTCATCTCTTTGGGATGACTTGGCTGCCAGAGGCAAAGGCTTTCATTCTCCTGCACTGATGACAACTCACTTGCTGTGGTACGAGTTCTTGACTTTTAGGAGCTGGGAAGTCCAGGACATCTGATGCATCCCACTAGACCTGTAGTAGGAAAGAGCAGGAGGTTCGATATGCCAGATGTGTCCCCAGCTGTGCTGGAGGGACAAGGGCAGGAGCAAGGGGTGACTGCTAGCTTGCAGTGTGTCTCTCCCTCTGGGCTAGATACAGGTAGAGCCACCTGGACTAGAAGGTGGCAGTGGTACAGGAGGGAGCAAACCAACAGGGATTGGCCTTCAGAGTGATGACAAGGCAACCAAGATGAAGGCTCTGTCCTCAGAGCTGTGGGCCACTGTTCTCTTGAAGGGGCGTTTTGGCTTCCCCAGCTCTCCCCAGCACCGGTGCCACCACCCACCCCCACTTGTCCATTTTTACCTCCTTCCTGCCTTCAAAGAGAATCCAGGGGGTTGAGATTTATAGGTAGGTGAGACAAGGATCTTTATTTCTGCTAAAGAGCAGTGTTCAGAGTATTTCCCATTCATAAACCCTTTGAAAACCTTGGAGAAAAAAAAAAAAGACTATCTTACAAAAGTAGGAAGCTACATCTAAATATATAACTCGGCCTGGTATTTATGTAAGGCTGTTCTCTGAAGAACTCAGAATGCTTAAAAGGTACCAGCTCATTCATCTGCACAGCCTTCCTAGTTCTGGATCCTTTTCCTCTGTAGCCCTAGGGATACTGGGGAGAAATGAAAGGAGGTGACTCAGGGCTGCAGGGCCTCTTGCTGTGTCTGTCCTGTGGTCAGGGTCGATTTTGCCTTTAACTGCAGAGTCAGATGGGAACACTGAGGCCAAGGGAGGCCAGATAATCAACAGAAGGAATACCAACCATTAGATGGGGGCTGCCTTGTGATTTAGGATATGAAGAGATTGACGGCTTATTTCTGAGAAACTCCTTCAGGAGGGGGAGTAGTTGCATTGTCATTGTTGGCTTGGCAGTTCAGAATTTAGGGGCTGGGGTAAAGTCTGTGGTGAGACCCATTTCTAAGTACCAAAGATGGGCAGTTAAAAAGGTGCCTTTGAATGCTTCTAAGACTTCTTAAACATCCTAAAGTTCTTAAAAACTTATTGTGGTAGGTTGGGCAGATGAAAGAAGTGTAACCTGCCCTAGCCAGCTGTAACTGGCTCCAAGGTAAATGACCCTGAACTGTAAGTGCTAGAGAGCTAGGTTTGTTGGTCTTATTAATCACCGTGGCTCTAGCTCCTAGCACTGTGTGGAACATGGAGTATCTTTTGCAGATGCAAAGGCTGTCCTTTGCAGATGAATGTCTGTGTGTACAGATTACCCTCCTGTTTGGATTGTTCACCTGGATTCTCTCATGTTTTCTTCTCACCCTGCTCTTTTCACAGACCCAGCCCGAGTCCTCAACATGCCCCCTGTAATTTATGTGCCCGTGGGAATCCATGGCTATATCCGCTGCCCTGTGGATGCAGAACCGCCTGCCACCGTGGTGAAGTGGAATAAGGATGGCCGCCCTCTACAGGTTGAGAAGGTATGAGTGAATTGCATGTCTGGGTTCTGGTTCTTTGCCAACCACACTCCCCCTAAAAAGACTGGGAAATCAAAGAACACTGATCTGGCAGGAGTTTGGCTGTGCTGCAGGCCCATGTCAGATGTCTTCCCCAGCTGAGCTGCTACTTGGTTTAGCCCAGTTCAGATCCTTCCCTGAAGTGTCTGAGGTACAGTGCCTGTGCCCTGACCATGGCTTCCTGCTGTCTTGTCTGTGTATGGCAGAACTTGGGTTGGACCTTGATGGAGGATGGCTCCATTCGCATTGAGGAGGCCACAGAGGAAGCCCTTGGCACTTACACCTGTGTGCCTTACAACACCTTGGGAACCATGGGCCAGTCTGCCCCTGCGAGACTTGTCCTGAAGGTGAGGCTTCAGGGGTTTGCATGGCCTCTGTGGTGGGCAGTCTTCCTCTGGCCATCACTTTACATGTGTCTCTGTGCTGTCCTTAGGATCCCCCGTATTTCACGGTGCTACCAGGCTGGGAGTACAGGCAGGAGGCTGGCCGGGAGCTGCTTATCCCCTGTGCAGCAGCAGGGGACCCCTTCCCTGTCATTACCTGGAGAAAGGTACCTGGGCTCTGAAGCTCCTGGACTATGGGGCATGTGGGGAAGACCCAGTGGCTGGTTCTGCTTGGATCTGTGTTAACAGGCTGGATGTTGGGTGGTAAGGCAACAGTGGGTAGTCATGACACAGGACCCAGGAATCCCCCCACCATCTTCATCTTTCTTGGACTCCTGAGCTATGAGCACTCCTTCCCTACCTGCTTCCCTGTACCCACTCTCTTCTCTTCCTCTTGTATGGTCAAGGTAGGGAAGCCCAGTAGAAGCAAGCACAATGCCCTGCCCAGCGGGAGCCTCCAGTTTCGTGCCCTGAGTAAGGAGGACCACGGGGAGTGGGAATGTGTCGCCACCAATGTGGTCACGAGCATCACTGCCAGCACTCACCTCACTGTCATCGGTACGTGGTTGGGCAGGCCATCTGGGGTGACTGTCTCCATTCTGCAGGTGTTTATCCTAGGTCTGCCCAGAGTCTACCACCTGCAGCCCTTGGCCTCTGTAGGTTTGACAGGGAGGGTTCACACTTGTGCCATCGTGGGGAACATAGGCATGTGGAAACTGGAGGGATTGGAATGACAGAGAATCAGGCCATACAGCACCTTGGGTGTACTGAGCTGCCTGTGGGCTATGCTGGTGTCCAGAGCCTGGGGTAGGAAGAAGTGACTAACGCTTCTTGTTGTGATTATTCAGGACATGTCAGCCTGTCTTCTTGTAGCCTGTCCATCTGACAAGGCCAACACCGAGCATTCCTGCTGGTTTTAGGCTCTGAGCCAAGTTGGCTGCACCTTATCATTCACAACTTAGCAGGGGAGCTGGCCATCCTGCCCAGTGTTAGGTCCTTCATAACCAGTGAGACCTGGCCTCAGTCCTGGGCCCACTGTTGTCTGCTGTGTGGAACGTGGCTGTCTCTTGTGGTTGGAGACTAGTAAGGGGAAGTATTGATGAGGAAAGTTCTAGTTTCCTTCTGGCCTGTGTTCTTGCTGGTGATAATAGCCTACACAGTAGGAGGGTTCTCCTCTCTGACCCTGGGATCTTCCCTGGTCACTACTACTTCCCATAATACATTTTGCTTCTACATGCTTTGGCCTCTCCCAGGTCCCCTACAAGAAGATGATGGGGACCTAGCAAATAGGCTCAGCTCCCCTTGGTCTGAGCTGTTTACCTTGGTCTCCAGGCACCAGTCCTCATGCCCCAGGCAGTGTCCGGGTCCAGGTCTCCATGACAACTGCCAATGTGTCCTGGGAGCCAGGCTATGATGGAGGCTACGAGCAGACATTCTCAGTTTGGTACGGACCTCTGTGAGTCAGCCCCGCATGCTTTGCTCTCTGCTTCTCCCTCCCATGCCCCACTTGGGCCATCCCATCTGTCCTATCCCATCTCATTCCTGGGTGGGTTAGAGGGTCCAAGGAGGCTGGGGTCTGCACTTGCGAGCCCCGAAGACAGCAAAGTGGGCCAGACAGTGATTGGATTCTTTTGGGTGCTAAAGGTGTCTGTAAGGGACCCAGGGCACCTTTGTGTTCCCACCCTGAAGGTTTGGAAGTTGATTTGAGCCTAAAATGTCCCCCTGAAGCTCTCTTTTGAGCTTCTCTTAGTGCCCGTCATTTCATGTCCTGCCTCATTCATTTCCTAGGTTCCTAATCTTTGAGGGTGTTGTGAATCAGCTGAACTGTAGGGTCTAGTTCTGTTCCTTGCCCAGAGGTTCCAGATACCAGTAAGGAGAACAGGTGCTCCTGTCCCTGGCCTTGTCTTCAGTGTCTATATTTCTCTCAAGGATCCTGTGTCTCTTGTTTTTAATGTCTGTTATTAACCAGATCAGTGATTTAAGATCTTTGCCCAAAGCTTAGGCTAGGTAGGGATCTTACAAATATATGGACCAGGAAGAAGATCTGAGGCGTGGAATGATGGGAAGGGAACCCCAGTGGCATTCCCTCCCCTTCACCCCCTAGGGCTTTTCCCTCCCCATATTCCTGTCCCAAGCCCCAGAATGGCAGCTTTCTGCTTCATGGACAACATCCTTAAGTGGGAAAGATGAATGCTTTACTTCCTCCTCCTCCAGCCGGGTTCAGTCTAAGTCTGGGGAGGAGGAACAAGCAGACAGCAGTGTTGACCTCAGAGAGAGCCCTCAACAGCCCAGGAGTTTGCTGTTTCCCTGGGGTTCCCAGATGCATGCATCTTCTCCAAGTTTTGAGTTCTCTGTGAGTGAACTGCACCTGGATGTGGGAGCTTCAGTCAGAACACTCTCCCATCCTGTCTGTGTTTCTCTGAATGGGGAGAGGGTCTCAACATTACTGCATGGGGGCGTGTTGCAAGATGTGTGGCTCAGGAAGGGGCATCTGGTGTGGCAGAGCCATCTTTGGGGATGGATGCAGGTCTGGGCACAGATAGGGCCTTTCTGTGATACCTGGGTGCTGCTCTACACTGCTGCTCACCTGCATCTTTATCGCACTCCACACACTTGTTTTGGTGTTTTGGTGGGGAAGAGTGGGTGCTAAGGTAGAGGGAGTCTCTTTCTCCCCTTTCTTACTGCCTCAGCTGTGTTTAGACGTTTGGTACTTGCTTTTTTAAAAAGAATATTTTTTTGCTGTACTTTCTTTTGCCTTAGCTCACAGTCCTGGGCAACACACAGTAGTGGTAATGGGTCTTAAAAGCTAGTGGAGAACCTGTGTTACAGCTCAGGGCCGCAAAGAGCATGCCAGTCACCCAGGACAATGTCTCCTCCTTGTGGTGCGATCATGGAACTACATCTGCAGCAGGTGGCTTCATTGCCTATTGGGAGCTGGGAAGTCGGTGTGGCTTTAGAAGGGAAATCCTTACTCTCAGTCTCAGTACTCCTCATCAGTATAACCTTCTCCTTGATTGTGATTTCTAACCCTTAAGGTCCTGCTGCAGGAAAACCCCTGGTCATTTTTGTTACATATGTTGGATGTCCTCAGATGCCCCAAGTTGGATCGGACTGAGCAAGTTTCCTGAATTCCTCTGGGCCCTACTTTTGTCTCTCCTCAGTAGACTGGACAGCCAGGGTCACCTGGGCTCCTTTCCCTAGTCATGTTCTTGTCCGGCAGCTCATCCTTATTTCCAGTGTCTCTATTTTGCCAAAACAGAGCCCATTCATAGAGGGGTACTCAGAGTGAAATTCTCTTACAGTGCAATTGGTAACCTGACCGGTGTCTTCGGCATGATTTATACCCGAGGGTCCCTTTTTGTAGGGGAGATACCAGGATAGGGGAAGCCTGGCACCATGAGGGTTGGCATAGCTAGAGCCGGGGAGGTCACCCCACCTTGCTATCCCTCTTCCTGCCCTTGACCCTGGGAATGCTTGTCCCCTCACTGCCTTTTCCTTGAGGGAACTTGCATGCCTACTGTTCTCTCCAGTGTGACCTACCCTACCCCATTCTCCCCCATCCCTCTCTCTCTTTTGGCCAGGATGAAGCGGGCTCAGTTTGGGCCCCATGACTGGCTGTCCTTGTCAGTGCCACCGGGCCCCAGCTGGTTGCTAGTGGATACTCTGGAGCCTGAGACTGCATACCAGTTCAGTGTCCTCGCCCAGAACAAGCTGGGAACCAGCGCCTTCAGTGAGGTGGTCACTGTGAACACTTTAGGTGAGGTCCTGGGGCTGGTGTGTCTTGGGGATGTTTCTCAGCAGAGCTGGGGTAGACAAAGATGATGATGACAGTAATGGCCCTAGATGTAACATTTAGGGCTTAAGTATGTGCCCAGTATCTTACTAAGTATTCTCTGTAATGTTTCCGTTTGCTTTCCCAGTAAGAATTTGCCATGCTCCTTTGCAGGGTTTGCCTGGTCCCATATCATGGTATTTTGGGCCTAATTTCTGTGGCACCTTCAGATGGAGGGAAGAAGTTTTGTATTTTACCCTTCCAGGTTCAGTGATATGTCTGAATGCTTGGTGGTTCTACAGGGGGACAGGGAGTCCTTCTGTGCTGCCTGGCTGCAGTTATCTGGGGTCAAGAGAGGGTGTTGGAAGCAGACTCTCCCCAGGCGGAGTTGAGGTGGGGTATGGCTTCAGCCCCTTTCTCCTCTGTGGGCACCAGGTGCAAAATGCCCAACCTAGACTCTGAAATGCCTCTACTGGGCCTCATTTTTGAGCTCCAGAGCCCGAAAGGGAATTGAAAGCATGAACCACATTCTGTAAGAAGATTTTACTAGTTCTTGGAGTGAGAACAAAAGATACAGTCATGTGCCACTTAACAGTAGGGATACCATCTAAGGATCCTTGAAGTGTGTCATTAAGCAACATGGTCATTGTGCAAATGGTGTATTTACACAAAAGTACATAGTATGGCATAAGAGGAAGTGACCCAACCAAGAGACATGGTGAACATGAGGTCAGTGGGGCTGATGGTGGTGGAACAGAGTAAACTGTTTCACCAGAAACCTTTCCTATGGTTGGAATACATTTTAGCCATAAAAATATAGTGTAGTAAACACATAACTTAGTAGCATAGTTGGGTATTACCATTACCAAGTGTTCTGTGCTGTACACAGCTATACTTTATATGATCAGCAGTGCAGTAGATTTGTTTGTAGTTTGTACTAGTGTCACCTCAGATGTGTGAGTAATATGTAGTTCTATGATATTATAGTCGATGCTCTGTTACTAGTACATAGAAAACGTTCAGTTCCATAACTACATGGGAACACCATTACAGACCCTTGTTAATTTCCAAGTTGTGTGGCACATGACTGTATTCTTCTCTTTTTTCTATAGTGCCCATTGTTTCTTCTTTCTTCCCTTTTGAGGAGATGCTTGGTTCTCTTTCAATTGTCCTACTCTGAAGAGAGTCATAGAGCTCTGGGTCAGCAGCCCCGACTCCTCTTTCCTTGGATCAGGAGGGCTACTGTAGGTGACACTCTCACCCCCTGAAACATACTCATCCCCTGTTGGTCTCTGTCTCCTACATTGGGTTGAGAGTCGTTAGCTACCATCTTTCTTCTTCCTTTCCCTTCTACAGCATTCCCTATTACAACTCCAGAACCCCTGGTGCTGGTTACCCCACCAAGGTGCCTCACAGCCAACCGGACCCAGCAGGGCGTGCTCCTGTCCTGGCTCCCACCTGCCAACCACAGCTTCCCCATTGATCGCTACATCATGGAGTTCCGAGTTGGGGAGCGTTGGGAGATGCTAGATGATGGCATTCCAGGCACTGATGGAGAGTTTTTTGCCAAGGATCTGTCACAGGCAAGGGCTTTAATTTTCTTGCTTCTTCTTTCCAGATTCTGGAGTTGGTATGAGTTTTTATAAAGCCACTGAACTTTGAGTGACCCACCTCAGGGGTATAAAGTCAAGCCCTGTACTGTCCTTTCTTACCTGTAGTCTTAGACTCTCCCAGGTCTGCGGTCAAGGATTGGGCTTCATCTCTAGACCAGAGCTAGATTGGAGGCATTGGGGACTAGTGCTATGCAGATAGTTTTTCTCAAGTACAGACACCAGCTAGGGCAAAGCAGGGTGAAGCCAATAGGGATCATCAGACTCATCAGCTTCCTGGTTCTAGCCAGGGTGAGCTGAGGAGGCTCCAGAAGGATTGACTTGTAGGTTAGCCAAGAGAAGGACAGAGTCCCTGGAAGAAAATGCATTCATTACCTTTTTCTGGTGGACCCCTTTAAATGTGAACATCTCTTTTTCTTGAGAGAGGAAGAAGTTTGTTTTATAGATAGAAAATATGTCATGAGTCCTTCTATTTCCCATCCTGGATGCTCTTTATAGCCAGCTGGAATTGGCTCACTGCACCTTTTGAGAGCTCATTATACATCTATTTTTCTGGACTGTCAGTGGCCTCATGTTCATAGCTTGAAATCCACAAGAATGGGACTATGTAGATTACAACCATTGCCCAATGGGAACAATCACTTACCATTGAATACTTCCCAGGACTCCAGTGCTCAGGTTCCATGGAAGTCATGTGCAGGCTCAGTACTGGTTGTTCTGAGTCCCTCAGCTGACTATTGTCCCTGGGTTGTAGGATACCTGGTATGAGTTCCGGGTTCTGGCTGTCATGCAGGATCTGATCAGCGAACCCAGTAACATCGCCGGTGTCTCCAGTACAGGTACTTTGGGGTCCAAAATTATTGAATAACTATTGGGACACATGAGAGTCTTTTTAAGAAACAGCTAATACAGGAGGACATGCTGGGTTGGAAACTTAAGCAGGTGTCTAGTTGAACTCTCCTAAGTCCTGGCATTTCTGAAGCCCATTAGATCCATGCTTCCATGACACATGGTGGTGCTTTATCCAACTGCAGAGCTGGGTTTCTGATAGGTCTGTAGGATAGTCATAGAAGGAGTTCAGTGGATCTTCTCGTTACGGTTGTCAGAATATGCTGTTTGCCATACATATTGTTTCCTTAGTGCTATACTCTGTAATGAGGGTGGCACCATGAATTAGAGGGAAGAGATAGCAGGTCAACAAGTGTTTGGTGGATGCCTATTATAGGCTTCCTTATAATTATGTGGGTTTTATTTGGAAAATTGTTGTTTGGTGTTGTTTTCCTTCCTTCCTTCCTCTCCCTAGATTTTTTTCAGACTAAATAAAGCCAACTCCCTAGCATTTTCTTCATTTATCTTTCTCTTGGCATTGGTCCCATTTCTACACATCTTCTCTCCCTTTCAGAGTTCCTGAAATCCAGCAGAATCCCTTTCCAGGGAAGTGGTGTCCTTGGTATAGGAGAGATTTTTGCTTAGTGAGCCAGCCGTGGCACCATTTCCTTGGGCACAGAATGACTGAGACCTCTGCAAGGGTCTTGGCCAAAAAGCTCTTGTAGAGAGCCTCTTGGAGTCATAAAAGTATCAGTGTGGGCAGGCTGTGGGAGGGAAGCACTGGAGCCAAGGGTGCATGGGGAAGGGGAGGAGTTGAGTGTGATTTTTGTCTCATATGTTAGGCACCCTGGGGCTTTTGTGTAAAACCAAAAGGGTTTCTCCCATAGGCAGCAAAACTCGGCTGCTTCTGTTTTGGCTTATCTCCAAGGAAGACTCTGAGAGATGGAAGAACACAGAAAATAGCTTGCAGCTAGAACCAAAGTAGACAGCTGAAGTGTTCTTGTACTCATTCTGTGAACTGTTTGTACTCAGTAGCCTTGTGCCTGGCTCCCGAAAGGAAAGGAAGCATGCCTGTTTAGAGAGTTCCTCATGGGTGAATGAGGATGCAGGAACAACAGCATTCCCTGTAGTTAAGTCCCCTATTCCCAAGGCTGTTGCCCATCCCCATAATTTGGATTCTTTTTAATCCATTCTTATTATGGACACGGCAATGAACTCTGGCCAGATATATCATAATTTAGCGACTTTCCCTTTGATGCACTTTAAGACTGGCACTTACTGATCTCCCAGCCCTATGAGTGCAGTACAATGGGCTTATGTCTGATCCAGACTCTGTGACTAACTAGCTTGTGAATCTGGCACAGGTGAAGCTCAGTCTTTAACTGTAGAAGGGAGAACTAAGCCCATGTGGTCATCCCTGCAGCTTCAACCTTCTGTAGCCTGAGTGACCAAGACGTGCTAATCCCTGCTGTAGGAAGCTTTCATCTTGTCCTGTAAAATATTAGAAGATGGGTGGGTCTGGGTTCACAATTCCTTTCCCTCTTGTGGTACTTTATCCCTAAGGTATCTTCATTCTGCAGATTGGCATGAGGGAAGGTAGAAAATTCCAAATGGGTTACAACAACTATGCTCTTGTTAGGGACTGATAACATGAGCCAGTTATAGTGTCTCACAAACTCAGCCAAACACAGTGTCTTTACAGTCTGGGCACTGTCCATGTGTAGCTCACAGGGTTCCTATGGGAGGACCTGGTAACATGCATAGACGTGCTTTCCTACATTCTTGGTGATACCTCTAGAAGATGACTAGTGATTATTCCCAGGAGGGAAGACATGGATATCATCTCCTTGTAAGCTACAAGGAGGTCAGTTGACTTTTGGAGACCATCCCTTTCTAACTTTCTTCACACTGCCATACCAACCCATTCTTGGTGATACCTCTAGAAGATGACTAGTGATTATTCCCAGGAGGGAAGACATGGATATCATCTCCTTGTAAGCTACAAGGAGGTCAGTTGACTTTTGGAGACCATCCCTTTCTAACTTTCTTCACACTGCCATACCAACCTCTTTATTTTTTTTTTTTGGTCTTTTTGAGACAGGGTCTCCTTATAGCCCCAGCTGGACAGGAACTTGCTATGTAGACCAGGGTGGCCTTGGTTTCACAGAGATCCACCTGCCTCTGCCTCCCAAATGCTGGGATTTAAAGGTGTGCGCCACCACGCCTGGCCTCTTTACATTTCTTTAAAGATCCCGTGTTAGAGTGGAGTGTGGAGGCCAAGTCCCTAGCCTTGTCTGCTGCAGAGAAAAGTTCTTTAGAAGAAAGTGTCAGTGTAGGTAGGAGAAACTGTCAGGCTTGAGACCCATGAGTGCTCCTGGCCCCGCTTGCAGACATCTTCCCACAGCCGGACCTGACTGATGACGGGCTCGCCCGGCCTGTATTGGCTGGCATCGTGGCCACCATCTGCTTCCTGGCAGCTGCCATCCTCTTCAGTACTCTGGCTGCCTGCTTTGTCAACAAGCAGCGCAAGCGCAAGCTCAAGCGGAAGAAAGGTGGGTGTATGTTCCCTCACCTTGCCTGGCCTAGGTCAGGTATTCCCTCGCAGGTGGTAGACCACTGTAGTATTTCTTCTCTGGAAACAGGAACGGTGGGAACTTGAAGGTAGAGTTGCTGGTGAGATATGATTTGATTTGCCTTTTTTCTTTTTGTTAATAATACTTTTATTTATTTTTTGAAAATTTCACGTATACAGTGTATTTTGATCTTCTCTATCCTACACTGCTTCCCTTCAGTTTCTTGGACCCACTAACCTGTTTCCCTCCTGACTTCATGTTCCTCCTCCTCCTCCCCCTCCTCCTCCTCCCCCCTTCGGCTGGGTCCTCTCACATCTCTCAGCAATCAAGAAAATGCCCCATCGACATGGTCACAGATCAGTCCAAAGGAGGAAATCCCTCAGTTGAGATTCCCTCTACCCCGGTGTGTCAAGTTGACAACTAAAGCTATCCAGCACAGTCACCCTTAACATTTAAAAGTTCATAGTAGAGCATTGGGGCTACAAGAAATTGTGGGTTAGTCAACAGTTCTGATCTTTAAGTGGCTTTTATTAGGTTGGAATTTTGTAGTGTATGCTTGGGTTGAGAGTGGAGATCTTGGCTTAGCAACCCTTGGCTTAAACTTATATTCAGGAAGAAAAAAAAGTCTTCTAATGCTTTATAGGTTCATTAAATTATCTCTTGTGGCTAACTGTGGGTAGAATCTGATGTTCCTTGGCTAGACTAGGGTGTTGGATGGCTTCAGTTTGCCTCTCTAGATATTCTCCAGCTCTGGAAGGCTCTCCTGCATGGACATCAAAGTTACCTATGTTTTCTGGCTTTCTGCACGATATGAGAAAGACAGAGAGGAACTTGGGGTCAGCTCATTTATTTTTCTGGCTCCTTCCAGTGAAGTAGTCAAAGGTTGCCATGCCCCTCAGTTGTCATTGCTTTTGTCTAGGGGCTTCACTTGGTTTTCCTTTCTGTCTCTTCAGATCACAGTAACCCTTCCCTCCCTCTGTGGCAGATGAACTGTCGCTATTTTTCTTTTTCTTTCTTTTCTTTTCTTTCATTTATTTTTGAGACAAGATCGTGCTTTATAGCCAGGGTGCTTTCAAACTTGAGGTCCTCTCTTGACTCAGTCTCCCAAGCACTTGGATTCCAGGCATGTACCACCATGTCCAGTGGGACTTGATTTGAAAGGGGGAAGAGTAAAGCAGGTGCTAGAGAGAGAAGGATGGGCCAAGGCTGCAGGGATGGAAGGCCTGGTGGTGACAGGCTTTTGAGCTGGGCATGGAGATGCCAGTGTGCCTGCAACCTTTTTCTCTGTGGCTTTGCAGCAGCCCTCCCTTTTGACCCTAGGGTATGGGGTGTCAGTGTTTTGTGGGCTCAGGCCTCTTCCTTCTTTTTCCCTTCTAGACCCTCCACTCTCCATTACTCACTGCCGGAAGAGTCTTGAGTCTCCGTAAGTATCTCTGGCTGTTGGGGGTTTGGTAGGTAGAAGGGGGAGGCTGGATGGTAACTTGGCCCCCCATTTTCTTGCCTGTTTCCTGTTTACTGATGGCATGTTAATTTTAAGTTGTCCACATAGATTGAGGGAGAGTAGTGTGTATAATACAAACTAGTAGCTTATTTGTTTAGCCTTGCAATGTTATTTTTGTAATTTTTTTCCCTTTACTTTGCTAAAGTCAGTGTTAACATGAGCTTGCATTTCTTGAACAACTAGGGAATGAAACTGGAGTTGTGCTTAGGCAGGATGTGCCAAATTTATGGGCAGGCCAGAAGAAAAGTAGCAATATGGGTGTTTATTCCAAAAATGGACCATACGTGTCTAGACAATTGAGAGTTGGCCAGAGTTTCTCACTAAAATATGCAGCCCATCAGTGCTGTTTTCTTTAGTTACTTTTCTAGATGCTTGTGGATTTTGTTAAGACAATGGGAAGAAGTTGTAGACTGTGTCCAGCACCCTTCATCGCTGTCTGTTCTTGTTTCACTCATAGCTTGTCCTCTGGCAAGGTGAGTCCTGAGAGCATCCGCACACTCCGTGCCCCATCTGAGTCCTCTGATGACCAGGGACAGCCTGCAGCTAAGAGGATGCTGAGCCCTACTCGGGAGAAAGAGCTGTCTTTGTACAAAAAGACCAAGAGGGCCATCAGCAGTAGGAAGTATAGCGTGGCCAAGGCCGAGGCTGAGGCAGAGGCTACCACGCCCATTGAGTTGATCAGCAGAGGCCCTGATGGCCGCTTTGTCATGGGCCCCTCTGAGATGGAGCCCTCAGTGAAGGGGCGACGCATCGAGGGCTTCCCCTTCGCCGAGGAGACAGACATGTACCCTGAGTTCCGGCAGTCAGACGAGGAAAATGAGGACCCACTGGTACCCACATCTGTGGCTGCCCTGAAGTCCCAGCTGACTCCTATGTCTTCCAGCCAGGAGTCCTACCTGCCTCCACCAGCATATAGCCCTCGGTTCCAGCCTCGCGGCCTTGAGGGCCCCAGTGGACTGGGAGGTCGCCTCCAGGCTACAGGCCAAGCACGGCCCCCTGCCCCCCGGCCCTTCCACCATGGCCAGTATTATGGGTACCTCAGCAGCAGCAGCCCTGGGGAGGTGGAGCCTCCACCCTTCTACATGCCAGAAGTGGGCAGTCCCCTGAGCTCGGTCATGTCATCCCCACCCTTGCATACTGAGGGGCCTTTTGGCCACCCCACCATCCCTGAGGAAAATGGAGAGAATGCTTCCAACAGTACTTTGCCCTTGACTCAGACACCTACAGGAGGGCGCTCTCCTGAGCCCTGGGGCCGACCAGAATTCCCCTTTGGGGGGCTGGAGACCCCAGCGATGATGTTCCCCCACCAGCTGCACCCCTGTGATGTGGCTGAGAGTCTACAGCCCAAGGCCTGTCTGCCCCGAGGACTGCCCCCCACCTCCCTCCAGATGCCTGCAGCCTACCCAGGCATGCTGTCTCTGGAGGCACCAAAGGGCTGGGTAGGCAAGTCACCTGGCAGGGGCCCCATTCCGGCGCCCCCTACCGCCAAGTGGCAGGACAGACCTATGCAACCTTTGGTCAGCCAAGGGCAGCTAAGACATACCAGCCAAGGTATGGGCATACCCGTGTTGCCTTACCCGGAGCCAGCTGAGCCCGGGGGGCATGGTGGCCCCAGCACATTCGGCCTGGACACCCGGTGGTATGAGCCCCAGTCCCGGCCCCGGCCCAGCCCCCGGCAGGCCCGGCGAGCCGAGCCCAGTTTACATCAAGTGGTGCTACAGCCCTCCCGGCTCTCACCTCTGACCCAAAGCCCCCTCAGTTCCCGCACTGGCTCCCCTGAGCTCGCTGCTCGTGCCCGACCTCGCCCAGGCCTCCTACAGCAGGCGGAGATGTCAGAGATCACCCTGCAGCCCCCAGCTGCAGTCAGCTTCTCTCGCAAGTCCACTCCGTCCACGGGCTCTCCTTCTCAGAGCAGCCGCAGCGGGAGCCCCAGCTACCGGCCCACCATGGGCTTCACCACCCTGGCCACAGGCTACCCCTCTCCTCCACCGGGCCCTGCTCCTGCAGCACCAGGGGACAACATGGATGTGTTTGGACAGACTCCTTCCCCCCGGAGGATGGGGGAGGAGATACTCCGGCCAGAGCCCCCAACAACATTACCTACTTCAGGGTGAGTATAATTACGACTATCTCTGGCCCACCTCTGGTCAGTCTTTTCCCCCATGCTCGCCCTCTCCCTCACCGCTCCATCATCCCAACAACAGGGCTTGTTGGGACATGCTGCAGCATCCCTGGGAGAAGAGTTCTGGTCACACTGGCAGGATGTATTCACTGGGATGGGTGTACTTATCTGCCTGGAGGTTCAGGAGTCTCACCTGGGCCGGAGTTCCCAGGAGGCTCTTGGTGTATCAGGAGTGTGGGGGAAAGGAGGGGAACATGACATAGCAGACAGTGACTTCTGTGAATGCTGCCCTTGAAGTGGAAGCCCTCTATATCCCTGTGATCTTGGTGTTGGGTGGTGGGTCCCTGCAGTTGCTTACAGACTTTTTATCTAAACATCCTCTTCCTTAGTCCCTCTTCACCATGGACCACTGATCAGGACCCCCTGTGCTCAAACCCTTGTCCTTTAGCAGCCCTAGTGAGTGCTGGACTCCAGGCCCTGTCCTTAGTCTCTCCAGGAACTTGCCCTGGAGGCTGAGAGAACAAGTTCAGGCCTCTGGGTGGGGAGCCATACCCCCACCCCACCCATGTGCCTCACAGGAAGCTACAGAGAGACAGACAGACAGACAAGCTCCTGCGATCTGCCCGCCTGAGAGAGTACACTCTGTACTGTAGCAGCTGGTATTCCAGGTACCAGTTGGCCTGGACGCCTGTCTGTGCCTCTTCTGTCCTCCCTTCCTCCTACCCTTTGTTCCTTTTCAAATCAGTCTCTGTCTACCTCTCTTCCTCCTCCATTGCCTTGAGGTTGACCCAACCTGCTCAGAAGAGCCTGCCATGAACCCTGTAGTGCACACCTTGCCTTCTTCCCTTCCCCTCACCCTTTCTCCCTTCTCAGTCTTTCTCTTTCTCTTTGGTTCAGTACTTTGGTCTCTCTTCTTGATATAGTGGCCTGTGGAGGGTAGCAGAGTTCCAGGGGAGGCTTGCCTGGTGGTGGGAGAATGGGAGGTAGCTGGGGAGAAGGAAGCCTACTCCTCCTACCATCTGCCCACCACTCCCACCACTCTGGTGCCTAGAGATTGCAAGCTCACCCCAGTGCCATGGCAGGTGGTGTGGGGAGGAGAGAGGGTAGCTAGGGCTCTCGCCTCTGTCTGCAGGAGATGCTGTCGTGGCGCCCTGTCTGTGCCTTGTTTAACCAGCTCACCTACTTTGTTCCATCGTGCGTCTGGTTTTCCGTCTCTCTCCTCTCCTCCCTCACCCATTCTCTGGCCTCGTCTGGGGGTCTCTGCTCGCTGTGCCCCCTCCTTCCCTCTGGGTGTGCGTGGGTGGTTCACCTGGCCGGTGTTGGTAACTGCTTTGTTTCTGATTATCTCAGCTATCTGGGCAGTGTTGTCGAGACAAGCCTCTCCTCAGCTCAATAGGTAAGGGAGCTCCTCGGCTGGGCTGGGCGGGGGCGGGCAGGTGGACGGGGCTTCGGCAGGGCCATTGCTTCCGTAACAGGGCATCCAAACCACATCCCCTCATCGCCCCCTAGGGGCAGCTACCGCTCCTGGGTTCCCATGGCTTCTGGGTTCCCCACATTGCACTGCTCTGCTGCTCCAGCTGCCCGCTGGCCATGCCCGGGTACTGCCTAGCTGTAGCTTTTAACCTTTAAGCCCACGCCCACCCTTTCCAGAGCTCCCTCCAGTTTTCACTCAGACCCCTGCCATCCTGCTGCCAACACCTCCAAAGACCCCCAAGCAGCTTTAGGACCTTGCATGTACCCCAGGGACTGGATATCCATGATCTGCTTTGTACTTCTACTGTTGGGGAATTGTTTGGGCCCATACTGGGATCTAGGACCCTCTCTTATCTTCACCCCACCCCACTGCCCTGTTTTCCCAGCAGACTCTGGCATAGTATTCCCTTTCTCCATTCCAACCCTTCTCTCAAGACTCAGATCTTTTCCTGAGGTTGCTAGTCCCTTACCCTTCCTGAGATCTTAATGATAGTGGTCCCCCTTCTGCATCTGGGTTTTCCTCAGGGTCAGGTGGTTTCTAGCTCTTCAGAGGGTGGGGAAATGTCTACTCCGTGCTCCTTGCATTCTGCAGCCCCTTCATGGTTGTTGCAAGACTGAAATGTGACCCTGCCCTTGAGCTGCATTGCTCTCAGAGTCCCTGTAGTAGCTATACAGCCTCCTTGAGTCACATTCTTGGGAAAGGGTCTTAGGACCCCCAGCAAGGGCAGGCTTCTCCCAGGGAGAAGCGGGGTGAGTTAGCAAGAGCTGAAACCCCAGGGATCAACACTGTGTCCTCCCCTGCTGTGGTCATTTCCTCCTTCAGTATCTTTCCAGGTGGAATTAAAAAAAGATGTGGCCATTGAAGTCCTGTCAGTCTCTTAAAGATGCTCAGGACTCTTGGGGTTCCCTGTCAGGGTAACCTAAAAAGATGCTTGTTTTGCCACATGCTTCATTGCCCATGTACTAGGAGCTGGCAGACTGCATTAGGCACCTGGTGGGAGAGAGGGAGCATTAGTGTGAGTGCTTTTGGCTTCCCAGGTGAGGAGGAGCTGCTTGCTTTCCTCCATTCAAAATGCTAGGGGAAGCTATTCTTCCTAGCTCAGGACTATAAATCTTATTGGTTGTGAGTGGCATCCTATAAAGAGACTATGGGGACATTTCTTTATAACCTGTCAGTGGCCAAGAGGCCCTAGCATTGTGCATGTGAAGCCAACTGGGTGTCAGGTTATAGCCACCAGTGCTGGCAGGATCATGCAAGCCAGCTGGTAGTGCTTATGAGCTAACCTGATCATTGAGCCTCCTGTAGGTCCCTGGATAGATGCTTTGGAGGAGGGAGAATGACTAAATTCCCTGCCCCATCCCTGTCCTCCCCTCTGCCCTTGCTTTGCTCCTCTGTTACCCCTAGTAGCTCTGGGCCAGCTTTCTCCCAGTTCCCCAAAACTGTACTCTAGTCTTATTTTTAATTTCCATTCCCCCCAATTCCACTGACCATGACCTTCCCCAGTGTCCCAACCATGGCAGATCTGAAAGAACCCAGCCATTTTATCAGCACTGTGGGAAACCCAGAAACCAGGGGTAGTGATGAGGAACTGTTGTTCCTTTTCCTCCCAGGCCTGGTCAGTGTCCCCAGCCCAGGAGAATGAAGTCCTTTTCATTGTCCAAGTTAGGAGTTTGTGGTGCTAGGCAACAGGACCCTCTGCTTGCTCTCTCCTGCTTGCTGAAAGCCTCCCGGGGTACAGGAGCTGCTGGGCCATGGGGAGGCAGCAGCTCCTTTGTAGATGCTGTCTTCATGCTGAGCCTTTGCATGTCCCCTTGGTCTTGCTTGGAGAAGTGATGCTTCTTGTCTGCGTTTGTTCTCGCCTTGTTTCCTTTCCCATCTGTTTCTCTCCTGTCCTGCTCATACCTGTTGTTTCCTCCCAACCTGTCCTCTTTTCTCTCTTTCCTTTTTATCCTCTTCCCAACTCCCATCTCAGTGTGGGAGTTGCAGTATGTGGACCTGTCCTTCTGTAGACTGCTGGGGTGCCCAGCCACTTGCTCAGCTTGCCTTTGATGCTGATAGCACCTCTATTTTCTATTTCTGTCTAGTCCCATTTCTCCTCACTGTGACCTCTGTCGTGCAGGGAGCTGAAAAGCCAGGATGTGGTCCCTTTTTATAAAGTGGGAAAGAGCTATAGGAAATAGCGCTCATTTAGACACAAGCCTCTCCAAACTTCTGGATTTGGGGGTGAGGGGGGCAGAAGAGAATTCCACCAGAGAGGGATCCCCTTGTGGCTGGGCTGTCTTGGTGTTGACTTGTGAATTATTGTCTACATTGTACATTGTGGAGAGTAGTTTCACTTTTTCCCTTGCTATAATGTATATGGGAGTAGATGTCCCTTCTCTTCCACCCACAGCAAAAGGGAGACAGCTCCCAGGCTACTTCTACCTGTTGGCTGGGGAATAATGAACTATGTCTTAATGGATAATTCTTAGGGCACCAAGGCAAGGAAACAGTCAGCTGGATTTTAACTTTCCTGACCTGAGCTTTGCCTATGTTATAAACCTGCTGCCTGTTTTCTCAGCTAAGGAAGCAGAGTATCACTCAATTAAGACTTCTTGCACTGAATGAGTAAGGGGGGGGATTTTGTGTGCATTCAGAGAGAGAGAGAGAGAGAGAGAGAGAACATGTTGATAATGCTAATGGTGATGATAAAGGAGAGGATGCTGCTGATGGTTCTGGTGATGGAGAAGAAGAGAGAGAAGAAGAAGAAGAAGGAGGAGGAGGAGGAGGAGGAGGAGGAGGAGGAGAGGAGAGGAGAGGAGAGGAGGGAAAAAAGAGAATGGGAGAGATTTTAAAGTGAAACCAGGTAATTTTTGGTAATTCTGATCTGCATGGACCACTACTGGATCACAGAACTGGGCTTTATGGGAAATGAGAGATCAGAAAACCCCATAGGCTTGGACGCCTTCATCTTCCAGTAGTGTACCTGGATCATCTGCTAGGAGAAGTGAAACCTGAGTTTGCCACATTCCTTTATGTGGAGAAAAGTCAAGACTAACCAGGAGAAATGAACCTCACCTTAGGAACCTAGGGTTGGATTCTGTTGTAACGGATTCACCTATAGGTCAAGTTCTGGTTACTGGATAATTTTATCCCAGAGTTAGAAGTTCATCATACTTCCTATTCCAGACATCAACATCAAAACTTCAAAACTGGAAAGACACCAGGTAGACTTGATAATGACATGGGACATGGTTATCCTTCCTAAAAATGGGAGGCAAGTTAATTCCAGAGGGCTGTTGGTGCTGATGGTAAGGGCTTCTGGAAGGCATTTCATGTGACTTTTCCATATAACTTGCTCAAAACAATCTCATTATGCCTGTCCCTCTCTTCCCACCTGTCCTGCTAGACATTTGCTTTTATTTTTGCCTCTGGCATTAGGCGAGTGTCCTGGTACCTCCAAGAGCAGTCTTTTCCCGTGTTGCAGTATCTGAGCCCTGAGCCAGAAGCTGAAGCAGGTGGGCAGCAGGTGTCCTGGATGGCCTGGAGCTTGGCTGCTTCTCGGGGGAAAATTGGCTTCTCTTCCTCAGTATGTCATTGCTACTTGGGAGTTTGTGCCTGAATTGATGAGACTTCAGCACTTGTTCCTGTCTGGCCCTGACACAGAAGCAGAGAGCTGTACCAGTCAGCACCCACTGCACTGAAGGGCAGGCAGATGTGATGGGGAAGCTGTGCTTTTGTTCCATTATAGCTTCTGTACCTACTTTTACTGGGAAGAAACTTAATGAACATTTTAGCCTAATACTAAAGAGTTTTGGCTGTGTCCAGGGATACCTGGACTGTTGGCTAAGCTGCTTACCCTCTCTAAAGTTGAGTTTCTCCATCTGGAATACGGCCAATGCAGTCTTCACGTCTTAGACTTATTGCAAACATTAAACAATGGCTGGCATGGTAAGTGGTAAGCACATGTTACATGATACAAATGATAATGTTAATTGTACTAATGGTATTCCACCCCCTGGAAATTCTGTCCGCTTTGAAGAATCCCTGGGAATTTTCAGGGTTGCTCTGTACCAGCTTCTTGTATAATCTGTGCCCTGACTCCACTGGAGAGGGAGCCCTTTGTGGTTGGGCTGGGTTGGCACTCTCTTGTAAACTCATAGCTGTCTATGGGTTATCTACAGGGAGTGAGCTCACCTTTCCCCTGGCTATAGTGTGTTTGTGAATGGATTTCCCCATCCTTCTACCCACAGTAAGGGGAGGCAGCTCCTAGGTTCCTTCTGCCTAATTGGCTGGGAATAAGGGAGAGTTGTGCTGTGACTGTGGGACACTAAGGATAATGTTGGGGAGTACTGTTATTGCCTGTCATGTAACTCCTATGACTGTGTAGCTCACCTTGCATGGCTTTTCTGAACGTGGGGCAAGGATCTGGAGTGGAGATGGCAAACAGTGGAAGATTTGTGTCTTTGATTTTCTTTTCAGGCAACATGAAGAATATTGGTCCAAGTTGAGAAGGGATGATGTAGGCTCCTCTAAAGTCCTGTCTAGCTACTGCTGTGGGGGAAGCTCTCTGGGTAGAATTGGGTTGAGATAAGAGGAAGGAGGGGTACTGACATATTGGGTCTTGGGGGGGGGGCTTGATTTCCACTATGAGCTAGATTTCTTTTTCATGGGATGTGGGCTTCTGTGTACATGCACATGTGGTCCTGTATTGCTGTATAGTGGTGCTATCAGAGGATGCAAAGTTAAGGATTAGTCTCTGTCTTGAACTTTGAGAGAGCTTCTTGATACTTTGTGCACTAAAAGACTCTGGGGGTGATGGCATCCATCAAGGAAGATGGCAGGTACTTCATTGCCAGTTACTGCCAGAAACCAGAGGCTTACCTACCATGAGTCTGTGAATTTCTTCTTCCCCATGCTCACAGAGACCTCCCATGTTGGAGAGATGGCTGCAGTCTTTTCATCCCTTTCTCTTTGTTCTTTTTTTAACCTCAGCTTGTCAACCTTTGGGGATGTCCTTGGCACTCACAGGACTCTCAATTTCTTGATCAGGATTTGCCAAAACCTCACTGTGGTGGACATGGGGAAGGGAGATGTGGTTGGGGACAGAAGAGAGTCACCTCTGTTACCATAGCTCTAGAATGTCCTTACTTAACCTGATCTCATTCAAATACCAGTGCTGATGGGAAGAAAACATATCCTGCCTCTCTCTTTCCCTCTTTGTTCCTCAGGCTCCAAGTTGTCTTACTTTGAGAAAAACTGACATTGATAACATGTCTTCTCCATTTTCCTCTTTTATGACTCTTGTAAAGTTCTCTCTATAGGCACAGAGTGTCACACCCTGCTTACCTCTCAGTTTGCTTTTGTGAACTGAGCTGCACAGGCTCTGATTAAATGACCGATGCGATCCATCCCACAACTAGGGTGGGGTTCATATGTCTGAGTCTCCTCTCCCAACAATCTCAGCATCTAGGCTGCATTTGAAAATACAGAATTCGCTGGATACTGGTGACACAGCAAAGACTCTGTGAGGTCATAAGATTTGAATACCTCGTCATGTCATAATCTACCTCCACTCTCTTCTGTTCTCTTCTGAGACCAAAGAAATCTGAGCCTAGTCTGCAGAGGGTCATGGAGACATGCCTGCTGAAGATGTTGGTATATCACAGCAGTTGTCACTATTAGCTGTGAGGTTCTGGATGAATCTTGCAGATGGAGTGTGTAGCTCAGTGAAGCTGTTTTGTGGAGCCCTTATCTCACCGGCCATTGGTTGCTCATGTCCCCCTTTCCTTCTCTGGAGATGGAAGGTGCTTTGGGGACTGGAATTGCTTATCTCCTGCTTTAATTTGCTCTTTAGTTTTCACTTGATGCTGGTGATTTCTAGGAACTGACTGTTCTCTGGCATTTGCTTATTCCAGCCTGAGTGATGCATGATGGGCTTATCATTAAAGTCTCTCTCTCTCCTTTCCCAGGATCTTTCAATTGCTCCACAGGTTGGTTTCCACCTGAAGTAGGCCTCCTGCTGCTGGAGCTCTCTTTTGGGTTTTTTCCCTTCCAGGAACAGTAGGAAGGCAGGTGTCCAGGAACGATCGTGTACACCCGGACTCCATCCCTGGGCTCTATCCTTCTATGGGCAGCCCTTTGGCTTTCTTCCAGCCCTCTTCAAAGGCTCCTTTCTGGGAGCTGACCTGTGCCTCTCTAATTGTTCCTTGCAGAATACTTCCACCTGCACCCGGGAACGCTGCTGTGCCTGAGAGGCTGGAGGCTCTGAGATACCAACGGATAAAGAAGCCCAAAAAGTCATCCAAGGGCTCTTCGAAGTCAAAGAAACGATCCGGTAAATGGTGGGAAGTGCTACTCCTCTTTCCACCGTGCTTTCCCCATATGATGAGGCTTGTGGGCCCAGGATCCCAACCTTGGGTTTTCTTTAGAAGTGAAACCAGCTTCTCTTATTCTTGATTTCCTTTTAATAATGCGTTTTCAACAATGCACAAATGATTTTCCTCTAAAAACACGAGAACGTTATCTGGTTGCCTTTCCTTCCCAGTTCATCTCCTTTCCCCTGGGGAGCCATTGCTCTGGGTGTATGTGTGCCTGTAGAGCCTTTTCTGTACTCAGAGCTTTAGAAAATTCACTGTATCCTTTCAGTGTGTTTTAGAGCAACCTAAGTAGTGTCCTATTCTTTCCCATCCTGTAGTGTACCTTGCAGTTATCCCTATCTCCTTGTATCACTATCCTCCATCATTTCAAGTCCTCTAGTTGAACACAAGAATGATGGGGCTTAGGGCTCACATGGCATGGACCAGCCTTTGCATTGACTAAACTTTTCTAAGGAGATAAAGTGCAATCTCCTTGTCTTTTAAAGGGCACTTCCACTGAAAAATGTCCAGTGCATATCCAGCAGTGACAGGGAGCTCCCAAAGCAGTGGAGAAACAGTGCAGCCCTTTTTAGAAGAGCTGTTAATGTTTAGCAAATACTCTTTCTACCAATGGTTGTAACAATGTTGTGGAAGCCTACCAAGGAAGAATGTTGAGCAGTTTCTCTGCAGATCTTTGGTGATGACTATAAATTAACTGCTTTATAAACCAGGTGATGGAAAAATATTCTACAGAGATGAAGACCCCTGGGAGGCAGCAATCACTGCTGGATCCCTTAGTCTTTGGGTGTGGTTGGTTGCCTATCAACTTGGAAATGGGAATATTGAAATGGAGAAAAAGAAAATTATTTTGTTGGTTTGAGACAGGGTCTTGCTGTATAGCTCAGGCTGGTATGGAATTAGCTGTGTAGCCCAGGCTGGCCTTGACTTTGCAATCCTCTTGTTTCTACCTCTGACAGCTAGGACTATGGGTATGTGCTGCCATGCTCAGCAAAAAAGAATGTTCTAAGGCTTGGGTCAGATTGGAATTCAAAGCTGAATCTTCAAACTATTTAAACTTGTATACATAAACATGTGGGTCTTAAAGTGAAGTCTGTATATGTGTGTATATACACATATACATATTTCTTGTCGCATGGTGGTGGTGTGTGCATCATTTAATGATAGGGACACATTCTGAGAAGCACACTGCTAGGTGATATTGGCACTGAGTGAGCATCATAATATCCTTAAGCTAACATGGGCAGTCACTATGCAACACTGTCTTAAAGAATTCCATTGAATATATGATCTGCCCCTGGCTAAAATATTATGTGGTGCAAGACTGTAAATTTCAATAACTATTTAGTTATTGTAAAATAAGTCATATCGGATGCTCTTGTTCCCTCTTGTTATGATGATGGTGGTCCTGCTGCCTGTTTGTGGTAATAGCCCTCGGATGTCTGCTTTTAGTCTAGGTGTCTCTTATGAGATCAAGTCTCACATTGCCAGTTGCTGGTTGAACTTGCATTTGGATGTTTTGTAGCTTCCATACTGTCCCCCAAAGAGTTTTTGTTTATCCTTTTCAAACCTGCTTCTTCCCACATCTCTCCAGTTTAGTAAATAGCACTTCTTCGGGTTCAGTTTCTCGGGCAGCTTTTTCCTAGATTCTTCTTTGGCCCTCACGACTCACACCTAAGCCATTTGGTAACATCTGTTGGCTCAGCCTTTGCAGTGTATCCTGAATCTGACTTTCTTTGGCTGTCTTTACTGCAAAAAAATCTCCTATCTGAACTGGTGCCTTACAGCTACCCTCCTGTCCCATCCATACTCCTACAGTGTTCCACAGAGATGAAGCTCCTGAATCCTTGGGTTACTTAGCCCTTAGCGTGACTGATTTCCTATCAGTTTGTGGATGGGAACACTGAGGTAGAGAAAGAAAAATATTTTGTTACTGTTGTTTTGAGACAAGGTCTCACTAATTCAGGCTGGCCTATAACTAGCTGTGTAGCTCAGGCTGGCTTTGACCTCTGGATCCTCCTGCTTCTACCTTCTGACTGCTCAAACAGTAGCCAGATTGAGCTGTAGAGATTTTACAGCACCCATTTTCACATGTCTTTTATATATACAAACACATATACACACGAAAACCTTCTATAAGCTTTTCGCAACAAGAACAAACAAGAACAGATTTCAAACTTCAGTACCCCTGCCATTTTTCTCTCTCCAGAGTGTGCCATGCTTGCTCTGTTTTTATTTTTTTATTTGTTTGTTTGCTTTGTTTTGATTTTCGAGATAGGGTAGCTCAGGCTATGTAGCTTAGGCTGACCTCAAACTCATAATCCTACTGCCTCAACCTCCCCAGTCTGGGATTACAGGTGTATGGCACTATACTGGCTTACATTTGCTCTTAACTTGGGTTTCCGCACTGCTGTACCTTCCGATGGTACTCATTTTTGCTCAGCTCTAGGGAAGGCTCTGAATTCAAGACTCCAGTCAGGTGTTAACCCTTTGAGAAGTAGAAGTAGGGCCCTGGCCACTGGCGTGGTCCTATTTTATTTCTCTTTGTTGTACTTGCAGCACCTGGGAGTCCAGTGTCTGTATTTTTCAAATCTTGACAGTTTGTCTCTTCCTCCCTACCCCCATGCTGAAGTGTAATCTAGAAAGATTAACCTTCCCACTGCATCTACAGAAGGGCCATGAGGCAGGGGAGTGGCCCTGACAGTGGAAGAAGGTCCAGGCCTGACTCACTATTGCACAATTGAAGTCTGGTGTGACCTCTGTCATTGCTGGGGAAAGGAGAGGGAACTATATTAAAGCCCTGCTTCCCACCACCTAGAATGATGCCTGGTGTCCAAGAAGCACTGCAAAGCAGATGTATGTAGATTGAGTGTTGACATAACTTGGTTGTTGAGATCTGCAAATTCACCGAAGGAAAGATTTCTATTCTACTTCCTAGAGTTCCTTCAGAGCAAGGGGCAAGGCTGGGTTTCTTGTTACTCCAGGGGGGAAGGAGGAGGTTTCTCTGTAGTGGTTTGGCCTCATTGTTCATGCATTCAGATGCTCCTTTTGTTTCAATGGAAACTCAGACTGCAGTCCTGGGAGAGGCATGCAGTGTGTGAGGCTGTGTTCTCCCTTTTCACTTTTTCTTTTGTGTGTCTATCTCCTTTTCTGTAGACGGTTCTGCCTCCCAGGCTCAGCAGCTTCCCAACTCTCAGGTTCTGTGGCCCGACGAAGCTGTCTGCCTCCGAAAGAAGAAGAGACACACTCGTCCTGACCCCTTTGCCCGGCTCTCAGACTTGTGCCATCGTCAGCTTCCAGAAGACCAGACGGCGATCCTCAACAGCGTGGATCATGACGATCCAGGCCACGCTACTCTGCTATAACTTAACTTCACTCTAAGTGTCCCCAGGGCAGGGTGCTAGGCTAAGGGGGCAGAGAGGGACATTGTACGGGGCCTTGTCCTCCTCTGCCCACCATGGGATGGCTCAGACTCTTGTCCTGTTTGCAATCCCTTCTGCCAGTGTGGGCCTTTCCCCCTAGATCTAGCCGGCTGGCTTCGTCCACAGGGCAGAGGACTGGGGGCAGAGCTTTTGCTTATGGGTTAGAGTTGGGGAGTGCGTAGGGAAAAGAAAGACATGTCCTCCACCTTACCTCTCCCTCTTTACTAGATTGATTCTTCTCACCTCTTCAAATGTCTTAGGAAGTGAAGAAGAGGAAAGCAATGGCTTTTACTGCTGTCTGCTTCTGTTTCTGTTTTCCCAGTCCTGGGAGAGGGTAGCATTCCACCCTGTCCTCTAGACTCCACATATATATAGATATAGATACAAATGCACTTGTGTGTAGTTGGTGGGTTTCTCTATGTGTATATATATGTACATTGAAGCAAATGCTGTTTCTTTCCTGTGGTCATTGAAGGATGGAGGAAGGTAGTGAAAAGCTGAGGTTGGTGAGCAGGACTGGCTATGAGCTGGTGGGGTGCCCTCATGCCTGTCTTAGGGGATCATTCCAGTTGAAACAGGTTCATGCCTCTCAACTGGATTCAGCTTCATTGTTCTTTCTAGCTTCTCCTATAGAGAGCAGAAATGAGGCCCTGCCATGATTTCTAGCTCCCTGCTTAGAGATTTAGCAACAAGTTACCCCTGAATTAAACACAAGCGTTTATTGCCTGTTTGCTGGGTGAAGAAAGCATGGCCAGGCACAAGGCCAGATCGGCATCTTTCTTCCTGTCACAGTTTGGCTTACTTCACAGAAATAGACGTTGCTTAGCAGAGGGTCTGACAGGCAGGCCTGATAATACAACCCTTTGCTCATGTCATGCATTAGTCGTTTTTGGTCCAGCCCGGGCCAAGAGCCCTGCGGCCCAAGGTGCTCCTGTCTACAGCCACCTGTGGTGAGCACTAAGCTGCCACAGCTCTATTTATACCCGCCTCAGCTTGGCACTCTGGAGCCCTGCCCCCCTGCCGCCAATTGGCTCCTCCTTTCCTTTTGTGTCTGCTAATTCTCCAGATTGATTAATTGCAATTTGTGGGAGCTGCCTGTAGCTCCTTGGCATACTCTCTATGTGCTGCCTGCCAACTCTGCTTTGCCCTGGGGTCCTTCTCCACACCCAGGACTCAATCTCTGGTACATGAAATGAAGTAGGGGTACCTCAGATTACTGAGTTCTGGGGTGCTCTTCCCTCACTGGCCCTCAGTGGGGCTGACTGAGGCACAGAGATGACGGTGGAAGGATGGTGGGCAGCACCTGCATCCTAATCCTTTCTTAGTTCAAATCTTGTCCTGGTTGCAACTGTTAGCACCTAGACGCTTTCCTGATGCCATTTTCCAACTCAGATGCTTCTCTTTCCTTCTATGAGGTTATGATGGTACCCAAGCATAGGGAAGAGGCAGAGAGCAGGGGAGACTGGGGCTGTCCTCACTTTCCCTTTGGCCTAGCCCAGAGTAGCAGAAGCTGCTGACTTCCAGGGAGTATTCCTTCTTGGTGCTGCTGTTTTGGTGAGTGTGGAGGATGTGCACCTCTCCCCAGGGACCTGCATGGACATTAGCCATGTCAAAGCACTAGAAGGTATCTTTTGGTCTCCTGGAGTTGCCAGTTACTTGGCCTAGTGATTTTGATCAGATATGGCCTCCAGGGGTTGGGAAGCTGGTCATTTATCGAACTTCCATCTTGGGGAATGGACTGAATCTCTGAAGTCAGGCCCTGGTGCTTCCTTCTCTCCTAGTGAGCTAGGGACCAATGCTACACTTGAGGCTTTAACCATGTAAGCCAAACTACCACAACTCCCTTGTCAACATGAGTAAAAGAGGTTCACTCTTTTAGAAGTAAAAGAATTTCTGTTGCTCTAGGATTAGGCCATGTACCTTAGACCCTCCAAATGATGTATTTCTCTGGGGTGTTAGAGTCCACTTGGTCACTGGACAGCAACTCTGGTGAAGTAGAAGAGCAAAGTTGGGAGACTGTCCCTTTTTCAGAGGTGGTGCTATACCTCTGCTGCTGTACCATGATGGGCTGTTCGCTTGAGCATCTCCTGGGGATATTGGGAACAATCCTACCTGATGTACTGGGATGAGATTTGGAGGCTGACAATGGGCCAGTCTGTGATCTTCACCTGTCCTCTTGCAACATGTGATTCCTGTGCCAGGTCCTGAGATGGATTGTAAAAGTAGGGTTTCAGGGCTGGTAAACTTTGGAATGAAATTGGCTAACTGTTCTGAGCACCCACCTGGGAATTCTGGCCCTGATGCTGCCTGGGCCTTGTGGTTAGAAAAGAGGAGAAGTTGAGGTGGAAGGCTTTGCTTCTTTTGGATGTTGTTTATGGACAAGAGCCAAACCTTGTGGGGCAAGGTACCTCAGCCAGTGCAGGCTAGGCTTGCAGGCTGTGCTAACAAAGGTGCTGACTCTTCCTCTTCTTGCCTCTGGCAGTGCCCCTTACCTCAGCTCAGATGACAAAATGGTAGAAGCTGTGCTTTTGTGTGGCCGCTGCGTGGCAGCTGTGCTATGATATCTCCAGTGCTGGGAATGGACATGAGGTCTACCTATTTCAAAGTGGCCTCAGACTGGACTCATTTTCCTCCCAAGCGGTCTTCCTTCTTGTGACTTTTCCTGGAGGCAGTGGCCTTCCTACAGCACTGGAAACTGTTTCAACCCTCCTTTAATGACTACAGATGATATTGGTGGAATATACTCCCCTCCATCAGGGGATCAGGGTGTCACAGCAGTCTTTAAGTCCTGGGTGTCGGCACTCATTTAACAGTCTGATTAGGAATATGTGCATGATGGGATGTATCTACTTCTAGGGACCAACATCCTTTATACTCTGCCTGTGAACTTGGCAATGACCAATATTGGGCTTTCTAGGGCTTTCGCCCTCCTTACTGTGGGAGATCACATGTCTTCCAAATCTCCCCCTTTTGGGTGTGGTAGCCTTACAGAAGCAACTCAGTTCAAACCTATCCCTGTGCTCAGAATTTTCTCTACCTTTCCTTCTGCGTCTTGGCTGGAAATGGTGTCTGTTTCAGTATTCAAACCACCAACCAGAAAGAGCGTAAAATGGTTCCCTAAGGGACCAGAAAGACTGCAGTTATTTAGGGGACAAAGATGAGCAATAAGGAGAAGTGGATCCTGTTTCTTGATTTGGTGGCTGGCCACCAGAGGGTTTCATGGCTTTGAGTAGAATTCTGAGTGGTCATTGGTGGCCAGTAAGCCAACATCTATCTGGTGTTGGCCACATCTATTGGCCATCCATTCTCTCCCTCCTAGTTTTCTTGGTGGGGCTAGGGCAGGAAATGAGAAGCAATCTGGGATTCTACTGTCTTAATAGGAAGGATGCTGCATTGCAAAGGGTGAGCAGGGCTGCACCCCTCCTCCAGAGCTCTGGGTTATTCCTTTTGGGGAGATTCCAGCAGGGTGGTTTAGAACAATTGCTTCATTGATATTTTTCCAGTGTGCTCTCTATTTTTGCATAGTGATCTAAAATAATGTGAGGTTGAACAGATTTTAGTTGTTTATTCTTCTACCCTTTTCATGGAGAGGAAACTGGGTAAGATTGAGATGTGGACCCCCCCACCCCCTGAAAGATTGACAAATACTAGATTCAAGGGTGACATGGACACTGCAGAGCACTAGGACATCTTTGTCATGCTCAGGATTTGAATCTGGGGCTGAGGTCTGTGCGGCTGGAGCTATTTGGATTTTGGTAGTCAAATCCTTTGGGAGCTTGGAGTGGGTTTGGGAAATTGTAGATAAATACATTTTAATGCTATGTAGAGAACTCTAGGAAAAGAAAAGCTAATGGTTAATATTTGGCTTGCTTTGCTTGCATGTGAAGAAGCTTTGGGAGGCACTGCAGGAACTTAGGAGCAGTAGGATGGAGTCAAAAGGCAGAGATGGGGGGAATGTGGAGAGGCTTCCCAGAGCTTCCCCTTGGCTTGACCTCACCTGTTGTGTTTTCTCCTATATGAAGCCAGAGCAGGCCCTGATGAGATTGAGGCTCAGGGCCCCATTGACCGTCTTTGTCCCTTTGAGAAGAGATTCAGGATGTGGCTTAGTGTCCAATCTTCATTGAATACAGTGGTTGTTAGGGCAGATGTGATTCAGGAAGGAGAGTTAGAAAGTTGGAGCCTGGAGAGGGTGCCTGCTCTTGGTCAGGTGTATGAGGCTGAAAGGGATAGAATGTCAAATCAGTTATGGCATATAGGAATCCTGGGATAGCCTGGCAAGACCCAAACAGAGGCACAGAGCCTCCAGTTTTCTTTGGGAGATGATAACTTAGCCACAACAGTGCAGTAAACACATTGGGAGACCATTCCAAGGAAACGAGGGACTGCCTGTGGAGGCAGAATGAGAAGTCGGGGCAGTGAGGGGCAGATGTGTCTGGTATGGGAGGGATGTAGTCAATGAGAAAGGTTTCGATAGGGCCTTATAAACAGGCCCAGACTGGATCTTGGAAGAAGTCTTTTGTCTTCACAGGGGTCCCTTGCTTCCTGTGGAATTGGCCTCTAACCCTGAGTGCCAGACAGACTTATTTGTCATCATGCTCTTCAGCTTTCTCTCTTCGTGGGGCTCCTCAGGCGAAAGCTGGGAGACTGGCCTTCACTGCCATCCTGACACGAGCTCTTTGCCAATAAAGAAGGATTTTTCTCAGGAGCTGTGTTTATTCTCCTGGACAGCAGTGGAGGATTGCCTTTCTTCCTCAGCTGTGTTTGAAAATGCTCACCAGACACTGGTGATGGTTGTGGAGAGGAGGACCTGGGACCTTGTTTCTGTATTTGCCACTCTTTTTTCATGAACTGTAGAGGCTTCCTTTGTCCTGGAGACTACACAGTGGCCTTATGCCTAGAGGTTGCCTCTTCCTTTGATAGGATAAAGTTACCAGACTGTAGCTAGTAGGAGGGTAAAAGAATTTCACCTGAAATCAGAGATCAACCATTCTGTACTCCTTAATGTGTCCAACTTCTTCCTGGATCAAGGGGCCAAACTGACACTCTTTAGAGAAAGCCAGTAAACCAAGAATCAAAGGCCTGGTTGTATTCTAGTAACTCTTACCCACTTGGTGTTTGGATGTGGGTGGTTGCCACTTCTGATATTGAATCAGCATGAGTCCAGAGCCTTATTTCTGAGCCCCTGCCTATACTTACAAATAAGCCTTACAGGAACAAATACAGTCAGCACCAGACGTTTGGTGTATTTGGTTGCTAAGAGGGTAGAATTTTTTTCACGACCTCATTTTTAAATTCGTCAAAAATTTCCATTCAATTGAGTCTGGTCCCACAGACAATTCTAGATCCTAAGGGTTCCTTTGTAGATAAAGAAAAATTATGTATTAATGCAAATATTATTAATGGCTGACCATGCCTAAGAAAAAAAGAAGAGTTGATATATCCTAATTGCTAAATAGTTGGGTAGGTCAGCAGCCAGTCACTTGGACATTTTCTTCTGCATTGGGTTGATAGCAGCGGTTAAGGATCCTGAAGAGAGCCGATGAGCTGATGAATGGTGATTAGCTTTGGCCTGACTGGGGAATTCAATTGAAGCAGTACAAACTCTGCTTGCAGCACTGGCCTTTACTGTCTACCTTTCCCATCCGACTATATGGCAACACAAATGACTGGGCTTTTGAGTCTTAAAGTAGTGTGTTCCACCAATCCAATCATTTTCCACTGGCACTGGATTTCCTGAGTCTGTTTTAGGAAGTAGAGCAAGCTCTCCTTCCACCTCACATTTACACCAATCAGGCTCCTTTCCTTCCTCTCCTACCTGTGTGTGGCTCTGGTGATCTCTGGCTGATGCATGGTTTACGATAGTGATGTGCTTGGGTTGGGGAGACAGTTGGGGAGGACAATTGGGGAGGGTTGGATTGGAAAGGGATTTGCATTTTCACCCTTAAAATATTGTAAGCATGCTTTTGGGAGAGGTGTGGGGTTTTCACACAAGCTGATGATCAGGGCCAATGCTGCTCATATGGGGGATGTGGATCTGGGGTTTTTATTTCCTTCTGGCTTAGGTATCTATTATACTTGGTGGAGGGGACTAATCTTCACAGTACCTTTAAAACCTTGGGAGACTGTCACTCTATCACCAAGTATTTATTTTGCCTACTGAAAACAATTGAGCAGTCTTTAATGGGTTGATATTGCCCTCAGTGGGTCAGAGAAATGGGATGATCTCACCTGTCTTTCTACAGGTACAGGTTATCTGCCTGGTCTTGAACCTCCAGCCAATTGTTTATTCCAGTGTTCAGAAGTAAGTGTGGTGGATGGGTATGAGTATCTATGTGATGTGTGGTGTGTTCACACAGTATCTGTGTGTGTGGTGTGTGTTTGTGTTATGGTATGTGTTATATGGATGCAATGTGTATGTGAGTTTGATGTGGGTGTGGGTGTGAGATAATAGACATACTGCTTTGCCTGAGTAGCATCAGGCCCAGGAAATCCCTCTTTATGGCTGGCTTTTTCTTTGATAGACAAACTTCTGTTTTGGTAGGAGGGTCATACTAGTAATACACCATCTTGAGTGCATTTTTTATGGAGATTGTATATAAAATTATATAAATATATAATGTGTTCTATTTTAAGGCGAGAGGAGCACTACTTATTGGGGGGAGGGCAAGGATCAGATGCAATAGTGGTGACTAATAGTGGGAGCTTCAGGTAAGTGGTCCACATGGGGAATGGGGGGGATTTGGGTAGGGAACAGATGCAAGCCGGGCAGGATGAGTGGGGGCTCATGCCCTCTGCACACATATATTAATATAAAGAAAACCTATATAAAGCTATCTATCATATCTATATATCTATATATCTATATGAAGTCATAGTTTGATTTATTTTTGTACCTGTACTTAGAGATGCTTTGAGCAGTATCACCTTCCCCAGGTGGCCTGGGGTGCTAGCTCATGCCTTGATGCCACCTCTTTTTCCATCCTTTCTGAGATACACTCAATGTTTAAAGCTGCTTGGATCTTTCTGATAGAAATGTGTATATATGAACAAACTAAACTCATTTGCAGAAAGGACAAGTGAGCTATAGGTTGTGGGGAGCTTCTGGATCTATAACCCCAAAGAACCTGGATCTTTATGTCTCCTGCCAGGAGGGTTCTATGCCTGGAACTGTTTGGCAGAGATGCTGTATATAGCAAGGACGATGGAGAACTGGGCACTCCATGAATCCATCTCCTTATGGTTGTGTGTTGGTACCCACTTCTTTGGAAGAAATCCAGCTTAGCTGCTTGTAAAGAGGGAGGTCAGATTAATCACCTTGGGCTTCCAGTAACACCTGTCCTGGTTTGTAGCACCTGGGCTCAAGCGGTGCGGTGATGAGATTTTGAGGCTAACTGTGTGGGCTCAGTCTTGGAGAAGCTACACCCTGGTAATTATTGCTGCAGATTCTTGGAACCAGTGTGAATGTGATATCTATTATAAATATAGCATCTATGCTTTTTCTTCATTTATTTTTAATGGGAAAATAGAGTGTTGTTGGAAATGGAGCAGTCCAATCCTGGGACATTGAGTAGAGGATCAGGAATGGAAGACTGATGTTGGGTAAGACTTGAAGGATGGGTCCTATTGGTACCTTCCATCTGGCACTTAGCCTGGGTCTGTGAAACAGACAATATATTGGAAGAATGTGACTCAGGATGGGAGGTTCTGGGAGCAGGAGTTCATTTGTGTTTGAGTGGAAAGCTTTATGTACTCTGAAGAATACCTCTCTGAGAATTCAAGACCTCACATGTGCTGCAAGGACCACATGCCTTGCTGCCTCAGCTGGTGTCTCCTGGTGCTAGCTTTTTCTTCTGATGTGCCAAGTGATCAGAGTGATGTGCCTGAAGCTGGTGCATGGCCAGATGGTGCAGGAGCCTGGAGAGACAGCTGTTGTCTCTCTACTCCTTCTGCTCCCCACTCAAGAAAAGGCAAATTTATCTAACCAAAACATGATGTCCAAGAGCTCTTATCTCACTTGCCTCAACCATGGGAAAGGTTCTCTTTGTTTGGGAATATAGGCAGAGTAGGGTGGAATGGAGTTTAAGCATGGCTTCCCTGTGATGATCTGCTCAAAACACCATTTTCCAAGGACACTACAGGAAAACAGGCTCTGTCCATGCAGTCCTGGATGGCTCCAGAACTGGCTCTAACTGACAGTGTGTCTAGTCTTTCCTGTAGCCTACTGAGGAGGCTAAAGGTGGATACAAACAGGTATTTCTTGGAACTTTTCTAGGAGATTGAGCAGGAATAGCAAAATCTGTGTACCTTCCTAAACCACTGAAGATGGTGATTCTATTACTGTCCTTTTGGTTCTTAGAGCCCACACTCTCTCTTTGTATGGTAGACTCTGTCTCATTTCTGGTCGTATGATGCCAGCAGAGTCAAGCACTTTAGCATCAGAGGGCTTATACTACATAGGTTTCTCTAACACTCTGTTATTTCCATGCTAAGCCAAAGGCTTGGTCCTGAGAGACCGCAACAGTACGAGATTGCCATCCTGTTTCATGATGCCCAAGCAGACCCTTCATTGTCTAGAAAAGGGAAGACAGGGATATATCCCTTCCCTTGAAGTTTTAGTGTTTGAGGAAGACATAATTTACCTAATGCCCTTTCTGTGACCCAGACCTCACCAAGATGGTACAAGGGTAGACATTGGAGGAGAAGGGAACTGTGGCCTAGCATCAGTTTCCTATTTTTTGTGAGGGCACATGGAGCAAAGTGGGTTGAGATCTGATTGTATATGGAGTAGGCAAGCTATCTTGTCTTTGAATCCTTCAGTTAATGGGACAGGTGTTTGAATGGGGTGCTCTATAAAGCCACTGCCAGGACTGAACTGTTTTGTGTGCTGGTGACTCATCTTGGTCCACAGGGTGTGGAAGGCTATTGACTTGGGGAGCTCTTCTCTTTTGCCAGAATCTAGGGGGAATCTAAAGAGATTTTAAAAAAAGTTTTGCTACTTCTGTCTTCTGTATGGAACAAGAGTAGGGAGACAAATCTCCTAAGGGTTGGTGTGCCTCTCTCCTTTTCACCACTGTCCCCAACCAGGAACTTGGGGGAAAGGGGTGCATCCACTGTTTCTTGGTTTCTGGCTGGACCCTCCCACGTTTTGCTGTAGATACTGATGTGGAACCATTTTGAGCAATATAAAAGCATGAGGTTGGGAGCCGATGAATCTACACACTCTACTCCCTGTGGCTGAGTGGTTGATCGTGATGTTGGCATATGGGGAGGTCTGTCCTGTTGTTGATGAAGTGACTAGTGCTCAGTTCAGGGACTGGGAGGGATTGTTCTATGAAATAATCTTGATGTTGGAACTTCACACTGAGGCGTTGGAAGGGGAGCAGTGAACCAGTGCTCAATTGACTGAATTGTACACATCAATATCAGAAAGCCTTGAAGCTCCATTCAGATTTAATTTCCTAACTGCCGTTTGTGGGGCCAGAGATTGAGAGTGCAGACAGGGTGTGCTTTCCTAAGTGACCTGTCCTTATACAGTCCCTGACTGAATAGACAGTGTCCTGCTTTGGATAGCAACCCTAGGTTCCTTTTTTTATCTTCACCTTCCCTCTTACCAGGAGGGACTATATTATCTTGGATGTGTTTCTTCCATCTCTCACAAAGGCAGTGAGTGGAAGTGGAGGGGGGTCCTGATGCTCCCTGCCAGGTACCTCACAGACTGCGTATGTCCAGATGCCTGACAACCTCTTGCTGTTAGTTCTAATGCATCTGGACATGACTCTTGTCATGAGATTTCTTGCTCTCATTTCAAACTTTTTCTTCCTTTGACTTTCTTTGGGGTTCTCCTCCTCCATGCCAGGTCTTCTTGTGAAGATCAATCAGACCTCATTTCCATTTCTCGAATGTTGAGTATTACAACATCACTGCTCTAGGGTGCTTTATGGTGCTGCTCCTGAAAAGGCCAGCTGGACGGAATCAGTCACCTTCGTCCCACTGGTTCCTTAGATTTTGCTGTATTTTGTCTCTATTAGATGTTTTCCCTAGGGGGTTGGGGTGGGAGATTTAGGGGTGGCTTTTGTGTTCTCTCTCTCTTTCTCCTCTCTTCCTCCCTCATTCTTCCTCTCTCCCTTCCCCCTTTTCTTTCTCTCCTCTGTCCTCTTTCTCTCTGTCTGTCTGTCTGTCTGTCTGTCTGTATGGACTGGTTAAAGTCAGTTATCATGGGCGGCTGACTTTGGTTCCAAATTAAAGATAAACCAACACATTGTACAGCTGTGCACAAAACACCTTTGAGTGTGAATCTGAATGGCAACTAGAGGCTTACTTTTTGAACTTCAGGTATGTAACTGAAAAGTAAATAAAAACACTATTTTTTCAGTAAGCTTTTTTTTTTGTTCTGAAAGATTACTTAGAAATCAAATTATATGAACATTAAATTGGTGCTGTACCAAAGCCTTATGACATATTCTACACTGTATATTCTGTCTCTGGGGAGCTCCCTGCTCCATCACTCTCTTAAAAGCCTGGGAATGCCAGCGTGTGCCAAGCCTAGGGCTGGGTCCTGGGGACCTGTGGGCCAAGGGGACCCCTGAGAGCAGAGGATGATGGTGGAGGTGGGGTACTCTTCTGCTGTCTGAGCAGTTGCTGAAGGGAAACCAGGCATGGGTGTGGCATGCATGTGCATGCATGCGTGTGCGCAAGGTCGCTGGTGCACAGTGCCAAAGTGAACATACTAACTGGGGTTTGAAGGGGAGACCCAGGTTGGCCTGGGAGTGGGGTGGCTGTGGGATTGAGGGCTGTGCTCCCTCTTGGTTCCCATCTTTCCTTTCTTCTCAGTTAGTAGTGGAGGTATGTCAGAAACAACTACGCTCAACCAGGTGCTTTCTTCCTCAAAATTCTCCAAATTCTAAATATTTATGAAGGGCCTGTCCATGGGGCAGACACCTCAGCTACCAAATCACAGTCGCCTAAGGCTGGGAGAAGCCTTTTTTTTTTTTTTTTTTTTTTAATCTCCAGCCTTCTCCTGATTTCTTGACATGGGTTCCTCCAGGGTCTCTGCCCCTCCTGTACCTGGCCTTGGGCCTGCTAGTTGCCACCCCTCCAAGTGGACTCCTTAGCCCACTGAGAAGACCCCACAGCTGGTGACCCATAAACCGTAACCGCTCCATGGTCCTAAGCAATAATGCCTGACCTGGCTGCTGAGGACAGTGATTCCTTTGGCTTCAGACTTGCCATTGTAAAGCTGAGCGAAAACCTAGAATCATTTGGGAGAGAATCTGTAGTCTGCCTTGGCCCAGACTGTCACACCAGGCTCCACCCACTGGTACTTTCAGGCTTGCTAAATACTAACCGACTCATCACTAGTAACACTGCATGTTCATATCCTGAAAAAGAAACAAACAAGCAAACAGTACATGAACAAACACAGGAAAAGAGAGAGAAAGAAGGCACATCCAACAACTAGATGTGTAGCCAGTGAAGGTAACCCTGGGAATGTTGCAAGTTAAACGGATCTAAAAAAAACTTAGTATTTAATTGCTTCTCATGTAACATTACTCTGCTTCAGAAATGTTTTGTATTTTGATATAAATAAACATTTGCTTAAAAAAGGCTTGTGTTCTATTTTTTCTTTTTGTACCTAGAAATATTTGCTAGTGGTATCTAATTTCACTGCTGGTCCTAGCTCTCCCTAATCAATCCATGTAACTCATGACTCAACATGACTCCGAACAAGTTGCTCCTCATTCATCCTTCAAATATGTTCCAAGGGGATGTTCCGCATGAGTCCCCACTTTGTGAACCTGGGATCTACTAGGGAGAAAAACAGAAAAGCCTCCATATCCTCTAGGTTGGGGGATTTAGGTTGTAGTGATGGGGAGACAATTATTGCATTAAGAATTACACAGATGGTTAGTGCTTGGGGAAAAAAATAATGTGAGTATCAGTGACTACTTAAGTATAGAAGGAGGGAATCAATTGCAGTCTTAAAAGTGTGCTTAGAGGCCTCACAAGCAAGATGGCATTGAAGCAGGAGCTGTATCTCTGCCAAAGGCCCATAAATGTCTTTTACTTCTACCTGAAATCTTATGTGCTGACAGTCCCTTTCTGTTTGACTCCATCTCTGAGTCTCCACTGATAATGGGCTGGCCCTCAGTAGTCAGCCCATGAGACTCAAGGGTTCAACAACTGTCTTTCCTTCCATGTGAAGGGATCAGCAGGCTTACATGTCTTACACTGGTCTCCAGGGCTGATTTGGTGGGTTTGGCTACTGACACCAGAATATGCTTTTTCTCGAACCATGCCATCCTTCTCAGTTCTTGACAACCTTTCTTCCTTGTTTCTAGGCAATGCCTCATGCTTATTGTGTCAACTACCTATGTATATGGAGTTATGTTTTACTTTTGTCCTTTGAGACAGTCTTATGTAGCTAAAGCTGCTCTTAAAGTCGCAATTTTCCTGCCCTTTAACTTCATTTGGGATTTAGTGGAGGCGAAATACCAAGATAAGAATATTCTTTTTTATGTATGCCTATTGTTCTTTTGGGGGGGTTATATTGAATTTTTATAATTTTCATACAATATAATTTGATGGTATTTAGATTCCTGTCTCTATCCCCATCTCCCCTTATTGCCCCTGGCCCAGTTTAATGCACTCTACTATAGATATGATAAGACCTACAGAGTCAAATTTGTGTCTCCAAATGTTCTTCATTGTGGGCCCATCCCCTGGAGCCTGGCTAACCTACCAAGAGTCTCATGCTTGAAAGAGACTGCCTCTGCCTCTCGCAGCAGCCATCTATTGCCACGGTTTCCTTACATGGGGTTGAAGCTTCCTGAGCCTTGGAAAACAGAAGTTTGATATAGGTGTCCTATTCAGGGAAAGCACTCTTCAACCTCTTTTTCTCTGCATATTGATCAGTTGTGGGTTTCTGTATTAATCACTGTTGCATAAGGAAATTTCTCTGGTGAGAGTTGTATTAATCTATGGGTATAACAGTAAGTCATTAAGAGTCAGTTTAACATGATAACTAGTTAGTAGAAAACTAGTATTAGATTCTCTCCTATGTCCTGTGGCCTGTTCCTAAACCTGTATCAAAGTCAGGAGTATGGACTCCATCCTAGGAAGCAGACCTTAAATCCAATTACAGAGTAGTTGGTTACTTCCATAATTTTTGTGCCATTATTGCACTGGTGGGCGGACATATCTTGCCAGACCAGTTATTGTAGTTCACAAGATTCACAGCTGGGTAAGGTTGTTGATTATTTTTTCCTTCTGGTAGCATGCATAGCACCTTCTAGCACCGTGGACACTAGTCAGTAGAGATGAGGCTCTAAAGTCAGCACCAGCTTGATTTCTCCTTGTTTGTTCTACAGCTCATGTATGTAGTGTCTTCAGATATAGGGTCTTACCATCTGGGTTTGTTGAGTAACCAAGAGTAGGATGCCTATTGTTCTGACTGAAGAAAACAGCCAACTGTGTCAGCATTTTTCCAACACCAACAAAATACCTAGGAAGATCAAATTAAAAGGAAGAAAGTAGGGCCGGGCATGGTGGTGCACACCTTTAATCCCAGCACTTGGGAGGCAGGGGCAGGTGGATCTCTGTGACTTCGAGGCCAGCCTGGTCTACATAGGCAGTTTCAGGTCAGCTGGGGCTACATGGAGACCCTGTCTCAAAAAGACCCCCCAAAAAAAAGAAAAGGAAAAAAGTTTATTGTGACTCCTCCTTCAGCTATTTCAGTTCATGGTGGCTTGGCCATGTTACTTTGGGTTTGTGGTGGCAGAGGAGACCTGTCCACCTTGTGGCATGTAGGAAACAGAGAGGTAGAGATAGAGATGGATTGATAGATAGGATCCATTAATAATATGCAGGCTGGGGACAAAGCCTTTAGTATATTCACCATTTGAGGAATACTTTCAAGCCTTAGCACCAGCCAACCAATCCCCCTAAATAGGTTCATCTACAAATTTGGAAACTTCGGCTGTAGTTTAAAAAGTTTGCATATAACATTTCCCCAAAGCTGTGAGATGGGGGTTGTCTAGTATCTGCACAGCTGTCCTTTGCTTCAATAATCTGTTGCAATTCTTATTCCTACTGGTTTCAATTTTCTCTTTCCTCTGCCCTCTCTTTTCTTGGCAGGACTTGGTGAAAATATTTTTGATATTTTGATGTGCTTTGATATTAATTTTTAAAGTAGATGTGCAGTGTTTTTCTGTTTCTTCTTTACACATATGAACATAGCCAAGAGGACCTTTTCTGTGTCAAATTGTGCTTATGTGATTTTAACCTTTTTTTAAAAGTATACCCAACTTCATTTTGATGTAGCATACTTTACAAAATCCTTTCACATTCATTTTATTTTGTGCTTACCGTCACCTCATATCTTGTCAAATATATCTTTGTCATCTCTCTTCCTGCCATGACCAGTGAAGGAGCCAATTAGAGGTCATCTTTTCCCTTCCTCCCCCTTCCTCCAACCACCCCTTTTCCCACCTTCCTTTCTTTGTTCTACACCTGCTTTACATTAGAAATGAGCTCCCACCACTTTCTCACCGGACTTCCTTCACATGGACGCGACACTCCCAGGACACCTGTATTCTCTCAAATTAGGTCATATAGTCCTTGAGGACCCAACAGTGTTGAACAATGGAAATTCAGATGAATTATTATGAAGAAAGAGCTAGGTAGAGAGCATGTGACAACAAACTTCATGGGCTTTACAAACCAGGACAATAGTGTTTAAGGGGGTGGGCCTTTTGCTGAGGAATGGTTATAGAGGCCAATGAGAAGATTACTAGTATCACCCAAAGTTGAGCACCTGACTTAGACTAGGAAGCTATAGTGATGATAAAGAGAGATTGAATTGGTTTAGACACGCTTACAAGGGAGTGATGTCAGGCTTGCTGAGACACATCAGCAGTAAGGGAAAGAATCGAGTCAGAACCCAGGTATGTTTATCTTAGCAACTGAGAATGAGACGAGAGATGAAAGAGGAAGGAAATCCAGAGTCGTAAAGTCTGAAGTGATTACTGAATATCCAGTGGAGATACCACTGGATGTATGAGTCTGGAATTCTAGTGGGAGCCTGGAGTGGGACCCAGGGAAGTGGTTTTTAAACCTTAGGAAGACAGAGGTGTATGAAAATGCAGGTGAGGGGGTGGCTCATTAAAGCCACTGAGTACAAAACAGGCACAGATTTGGGTTGCATAGAGGAGGTAGTTGATACTGATAAGGGCAGCCTCAGTGGACAGTGAGGACAGCAATGCAGCCAGAGCTGTGGAGAAATGCTGCTTGCTCCTTACTTAGGCTCTGTGCTTAGCTAGCTTCCTTATACAGGTCAGAACCACCTGCCCAGGGAATGGTGCCTCCCACAGTGGGATGGGCTCCTCTAAATCAATTAATAAGACAGTCTCCCATAGACATGCCCAAGGTCAGTCTGATCTGGGAAATTCCTTAATTGAGGCTCTGCTCTAAGATGACTCTGTGTTGTGTCAAGTTGACAGTTAAAGCTAAGACACAAACTATTAGAAATAGTAAGAGACCAAGGAAAGTTTGCTGAGCCTCAGACAGGTGTTGTTTATATTAGAAACAAAAATAGGTGCTTTATTTATTTTGTGTGGGTGTATGTGGGTGTATGCTTGTATTTGTGTGTATATAAGTACATGCATATGTTGGGGTGTGGTACACCTAAATAAACGTGTATATTGGAGGTCAGAGGACAACTTCAGATGTCATTTCTCAGGGTGTCTCACTAGCTGTTTCCAAGCAATTCCCAGCGATCACCCTGTTTCCACCGCCCCATTGCTAGGATTACGTTTGCTATAATGCCTAGCTTAAAAATGGGCATTTTAAAAGGTAACTTTTAGTTGGACACGATGGTGCATGCCTATAATCCCAGGCTTGGGAGGCTGAGGAAGATTTTGAGTTCCAGGCTAGCATAGGCTACATAGTATAACTTTCTCTCTAAAACAAACTAATGAATGAGGTGACTTTATAACAGTGAAGACAACAGTGAAATAAGTTAAAAAATGAGTAAGTTTAATGAACAATGGGTGAATGGTAGGACTTAAGTATGAGATTTAGGAAAAGGTAAGACGAGCTAGCATTCCTGTTTCTCTGTATTGTGCCTTTCTTTTAGGATATGGTCCTTTAAGGGGCCTGTCAGGAACTTGTGTTTAACACCTCTCTCCAGGTGCTAAAACCAAAGATCTTCCCTTACAAGCTTGATCGTCCTCATTCCTCTCTCGCTGTCTCTCTCTGCTCACATCAACTGGAGCATTACCTCCCTCTTTATTTTTGGCTAATGACAATGAACATAGCTATGCATTCGGTAGTAAGTGTTAGCTCATCTAGCCTTCTAGAATTCAGGGACCTTTTAAATGATGTGATTGATCTTGTTACCAACACTGGAATCCTCCAATTTTTCTTTGCTCTGAAGTATGTTTTCTGTTTAGTTGGCTGTTTTTTTTTTTGTTTTGTTTTGTTTTGTTTGTTTGTTTTTTAAAGTCAGGATCTTGCTATGTAGTCTAGCATGGCCCAGGACCATGATTCTCTTGCTTCAGTTTTCCCAGGCCTGATATTCTAGGTATGGGCCATAGGCCCAGC